CTTGCTTTCGAGACGAATGCCCAGACGGAGTCTCCGAGACCGCGTTGGCTGAAAACAGGGAAAATCTGGGTGGTGCGACAGAGACAAGATCACGGAAGGCTGAATTGGAATGGCTGGTATTCCGTAATGAGTGACGACGTGCTGTGCCTGAGGCGATAAGGCTGGGAAGAGGGGTCGGATTCACTCAGGCACTCAGGCAGTGATGTCATGCTCGCGTTGGATTGCATCTGCCAATCTACTGCTCGATCTAAACTACTATCAATGTCACTTATCTAGTCTTCCTCCTCTCCAGTGCATCTCTGGAAAGTGGAAACTGGTTTTTCTTGCATGGCGGCTGCTCTGACCTCTGGATCTGACCCCCGCCGATCCGCCGATCTGAAACATTAATTCATTCAGCGGTTCCAGGCAGCATCGCAACCGATCATTAGTTTCTAGCTCCATCGGCCTCGTGTGGTGGAGCCACGGCTTTCTTCCCTCCCCCTCATTTTCCGTCCCTACAGGGCGACTGCTCCAACAATTGTTCTGCTTCCCCTCCTCTTCACCCCCAGTCCCTCATTCTCTCCCTGAGGCTGTCGAATTTGTTACGCCGCCATCATGGACAAGTTTAAGCATAAGCTCGAGAACCTGGAGGAGCAGTTCAAAGGTGTCATTCTTGTCTCCACTGCTTTGAATCCCACTAACCGCCCTCCGTCTCGACAGAAACCCACATCGAGGAGAAGGCTTTCCACCTCAAGCACAAAGTTGGCAAGTTCTTTAACATTGTCAACCCCAATCATCGCCATGATGAAGCGCACGAGAAGGCTACCGATGCCAAACGCACCGCGATCTCCGAATCCCACCGCTTCAAGTCGTTCGCGCCCATCCGTGAGGGTAACAAGGTCAAGTGGTATGTCGATGCTCTGGACTACTTGTGGGCGGTCTCAATGGCTTTAGAGGAGGCCAAAGAGACCATCTACATTGCCGATTGGTGGTTGTCTCCTGAATTGTTCCTCCGGAGACCCCCGTTCATGGCCCAGGAATGGCGGTTGGATCAGATTCTCAAGCGTCGCGCCGAGGCGGGCGTCAAAATCTACGTGATTGTGTACAAGGAGGTTAGTCTAGGCGTTAGTCGCATCGTCGATGGGTTGCTAACATATATGGACTAGGTCAACCAAGCATTGACTTGCAATTCCGCTCATACCAAGCACGCGCTTCGCAACCTCTGTCCCGAAGGAAGCCCTGGTCACGGAAACATCAAAGTCTTGCGCCACCCGGATCATAACATCTTCGAGAATGCGGCTGACATGACCTTGTACTGGGTGAGCTTAAATCCCGAAGCTTCCCGCAGCGCGTGCTAACTTCGTTAGGCGCACCATGAGAAATTCATAGTCATTGATTACGCATTGGCGTTCATTGGAGGTATTGATTTGTGTTTCGGAAGATGGGACGCTCATCAGCATCCCCTGGCCGACGTCCACCCCTCTAACTTGCGGAACGAGGTCTTCCCCGGACAGGAATTCAACAACAACCGCATCATGGATTTCCAGAGCGTGGGCGACTGGCAGGCCAACGAGCTTAGCAAGGCTGAGTATGGTCGAATGCCCTGGCACGACGTCGCCATGGGTGTGATGGGTGACTGTGTGTATGACATCGCAGAGCACTTCGTCCTGCGGTGGAACTTCATCAAGCGGGACAAGTACAAACGGGACGACAGTGTGGACTGGCTGATGCTGGAGGGTCGTACTGGGGACGACGAAGATCTGGTTGCCGTTCAGCGTCCGAAATTCCCGTGTGGCGAGTACCTGCAGCACCCTCTTACGCCTCTCGATACGAAGCCCCTCGGCCAGCAAGGCTTTGCACGGGCGCAGATCGTGCGCAGTAGCGCCGACTGGAGCAGTGGAATTTTGACGGAACATAGCATCCAGAACGCCTACAAGGAGATCATCAGCCAGGCTCAGCACTATGTCTACATTGAGAATCAATTCTTCAGTAAGATCGTTCACCCTGAGCACTACACCGACTGCTAACCCCACCAAGTCACTGCCACGGGAGACAAACAGGCGCCCATTCTCAACACCATTGGTCAGTCTATCGTCGAGGCCGTTGTCAGAGCTGCCAAGGAGGGAAGAAAGTTCAGAGTGATCATCGTGATTCCCGCCATCCCTGGATTTGCGGGAGACCTCCGCCAGAATGAAGCGACAGGCACCCGCGCCATCATGGACTACCAGTACAAGTCGATCTTGCGCGGTGAACACTCCATCTTCGGCCGGATTTCCGCCCAAGGCGTGAACCCCAGAGGTAAGGTGAACTTCCGTCCGTTTCAGACGCAATCTGACGTAGCTAGAACACGTTTTCCTGTTTAACTTGCGCGCATACGATCGCATCAACAAGACCCCTGCTCTCGTCAAGTTGGAGTCCGAGGCGGGCGTGACTTACAACGATGTTCAGCGTGGCATTGCCGAGTCTATCATGAGTGACAGTGTCCACCCGGCTATCGGCAAAGAGGGCGACAAGCATGAGGTGGGGTATGACAATGCACAACAGGAGAAGGAGGTTCGTCTCGCACGGCTGCGCAAGTACGAGGAGCAGCATGAGCGTCACAAGGAGCTGGAGGGCCTCAAGGGTAGCGACTCCGTCGCCCACACCACCATGCTCAACGGCGGCAAGATGTCCGATGAGCCATGGGAGGGCGACCCCGAGGACGAGAAGGAGAACTTTATTCAGGAAGAGCTCTACGTGCATGGAAAGGTGTGCATTGTCGATGACCGAGTTGTCATTTGTGGAAGTGCCAACATCAACGACAGAGTATATTTTCCCCCGTCCTGAACCGTCATATACGCGATACTGACCGATAGCAGTCCCAACTTGGTTACCACGACAGCGAGCTTGCTATTGTTGTTGAAGACCAAGACTTCATCGGCAGCACCATGGATGGCAAACCGTACAAGGCCGCCCGTGTCGCTGCCACGCTCCGCCGCCAGCTCTGGCGGGAGCACCTTGGCCTGCTACCCGCTCAGAATTATGACGCTTCTGAAGACCCGAACGCAAAGCCCCCCTACATGTGCATGAACCACATCCTCGAGGGACCCGAAGACGACTTTGTCACCGATCCCATGAGCGACGAGCTCTGGGAGATGTGGACTGGCCGCGCCACCGTCAACACCGACATGTACCGCATGCTATTCCGCGCCGACCCCGACGACAATGTCCGCACATTCGACGACTACGACCGAATCTGTCCTCGCGGCATCAAGCAAGGTCACTTGTTTGATCCCTTCCAGCCGGTCAATGAAATCCGCGAGAAGCTGGATAAAATCAAGGGACATCTGGTCTGGATGCCACTGGAGTTCTTGAAGGATGCCAACATGGCTGAGCCTGGATTGGCGGTGAATCAAATCACAGAGGTGATACTACCTACCTACCTACCTACCTACCGATTTAAGTGTGAAACATGAGCTAACGTATCACAAATTTCCTCTACAGAGTATCTACACCTAAGACAAATTTTGCCTCCAGTACGGAGTACCGATTGTCAATCGACAGGTTGTATTTGCCTTACATACCTAGTACCTAATAGTACATACCAATATCATACCCGCCATCGACGCCACAGACTAAATCTCGAGAGGAGCAAAGAAAAGGAGAAAAACGAACCGTCTAGAAAATTACATTTACCTACGTAGCGAGACTAAAACTCCACCCCGAAAGGGCCCGTGCCTACACCACGGATCACCCAGCCCTCCTGCCATTCCATCCCGTTCCAGCACCGTCCCATCCCAAGCCCATGGTGCATCCATCCATTCCATAATTCTAAATCCATCTTACTTAAATCCTAATGATCCATAGTGCCCAACTCAACCCACCCCTCCGGGAATAGTAAGCAAAGTAAGCAATGAAAGTTTCCCTGCGATGCGGATGCGGAGTACATGAATCTTCCACGCAAGGGGTAGTAGTCGGAGTAGTAGTAGGAGTAGTGGGTGCACGAGAAGGGAGAGAGAGAGACCGAAAGACCGAGTAAGTGAAAGACACACACACACACACACACATCTAAGACCAGCAACCAAGTACAGTTCACCTACCTACAAGTTATCTAGGGAGTTTCCTGAACTCTATTCGCAAGGGATGATTTATCTGGAACCACCCCTGCCCTCTCCTTCTCACGTCCTATTACCCACTTTGATATTCGGGATTTGACATCTCACATACTTTAGTTGCAGGTCTTACATTAGGTAAATAGGTAGGTAGGTAATTACCTGCCAAGCAAGCAAGAAAGCATCACTTAATTCCCCTTCCCATACCTAGTACATTTACATGATACATATTTTATTTCATACATACGTTGCGCATGCATGACAGACAGGTAGATAGATAGATAGATACTAGGCCCCGTTCATGTTTACCGGGGTTTGAAGTATCTAGTACTTAGAATATGTAGTATGTACTAGATACTTAGATACTAGTAGAGAAATAAAATAAATAAAACAAAACCTAAAAGAGGGAAAAGCAGACGACCTTCTACAACTCCACGACTCTACTTAACTAAACTCATCTAAGTAATTGGGTTAGATAGTAGTATTACCTAGTCTCAGGTTTCACTAAATCAACTACTACTAGCAATTGAAAAATATCGTCAAGTAATATTTTCTAATTATTTTTCTTCTATTCCTCTTATTTATTTTTTCGAATTGACTTCCGATACATCATGCAACTCACCCGATTTGGTAAGTAAAGCTGACTGGGGTAAGTAGTGGTTGAGTTGGTTGGACTTACAGTGCAAATTTCCTGTTTGGTGTTTGGTGGGTGGTGGTGGCTCAATTTCCCTATTTTTGCGGGTCGGAAGGAGGCCGGGGCGCGGCGGCCCACTTTGCTTGTCATTAAGATAAATTGTCATTATTATTAGTGGGGAAATTATTGACGGGGATAAAATTTAATTTGGGTCAAATAGATACTAGTTTGTTTATCGTAAAGTATGTTAGTTATTTTATGTCTGGGGATCTTCGTGTGTCACGTCTTTTTTAGCGTATTTGGAATTTGCCAAAGGGGAGGGGAATGTGTCTACGGAATTGTGAAATGGGAGTTCTCAAATGCCATTATTAAATTTGCGTCGCCGCATTGTATTCCTGATAAGGATCTATAAGTCATCTCTATCGCACAGAAAGAAAATCTGGAAAAACATAAACAGAAAAAGTAAAAGGTCCGAGTGTGATAAAAGACAAGGAATGCAAGGCTCTCTGAAAGGAGGCGCCGGCATAGGAATTGAATCACCAACAGACCGTTTGTTTCGGAACCCTGAACACCAGAGCGATGCTGCTTTTTTGTGGCGAAAGTAGATCGTGGACATATGAGATTCCGGCCGTGGCTCTGCATCAGAAGGACTTTTGGGACTTTTCGTCGGGAAAGCAACATAAGAATCGATGGCAAAAGCACGAAAGGGGGGGGGGCGGAAAACGAGTGGAGTGGACTATATTAGTGATGGAGAATGGGGGAAAACACTGCTTGCACCGCGTTTGCAGTTGCAGGCTCAGATGCATCTCCTTTGGTCGCGAGACATCGAGTGGTATTCAGTCACAATCAGGTAGCCACAGCTTTGATGTTGATCGATTGAGATCTGGCCCGAATAGGAAGATATCCGATTGGACCAGACTACAAAGCAGAGGCGCTCTTCCGTCGACCCTACTCCGATCTGGGACACCAACAAACCGAGGGGACAATGCGCAGTATGCCGCAGAGATGGAGAAAAAATTTTTTTCAAAGAGTTGCAGGAGAAACCGAACCGAATGGAGAAGCAAACGAAATGGGAAAATTGATTTAAGTCAAGTCGCGCAAGAAAAGGCTGATAGGCTTTCGGCAGGTATGGCGCGAGGAGTGCTGCAGAAGGCTTTTCCGAAGTTTTAGGAAATGTACGAATCAAACTAGGAACAGAGGTTAGCTTATAGTTTCACAACTGGTACACAGCCTTCCACAAACAATCGCAGTCAGGCCACTTGCACACTTACCGATTAAGAGGCAAAAAAGCATGCGTGACTTGATTCTTCTTAGCCTTTGGCGGTGTGGCAGGAGTTGCAGCGACAGTGGTTACAGATCTTGCAGCGCCAGATGGCGACAAACGGACCGGAGTTGCAGTCAGAGCATCGCCAGGTAAGGATATTCCCGTTTGTCGCCTGCACGATGACGAAAACGTGACCCGAGCATTGGTTGGCCATCTCGTCGCTATTTGCAGCATGTTAACATCCTTCCAATTTGCGCGTTGCCAGGAACTGGAATTTTTAATGAGGATCCTTCACATACTAAGTTCTGTCTCAGAGATGGTGGATGTAGATTTATGCGTGAGCTGCGCAAGATTGCAGTGATACGAGATATCTCTCGATAGTCAAGTACTGGAGCTGAAGGGATGGAACGCCTGGAGCTTCTTCAGTTGCAATGTAAAGTAGACGGCCTGTTTTGTCCCTGAATGTAAAAATTGAAGAACAGAATGGAAGACCTGAGTGAGGAAGGCGACAAAAGAGTTGTCTGAGAGTCAAGGAAGAGAAGAATGAAGGGGAGAAGGATGTAATTGTTGATGATGGATGAAAGACAAAGGACGTTTGGGATGCGTCGCCATAGCTTTATATAGAGGATGAGGTTTCAAATTGGACCAGCACATGAGACATCTCCTTTTTAGTGATGCGATGGGTGCATTGCTTCGGATTGACCGTTGTTCAGAGAAGGTCCCAACAGCTGTACGAGGTCCAGACTAGAAGCAGGTCTGCTGCATGGAATGGCTCTTTCCGTCGGCAGGGAATCGAACTGCAAGTACCCGAGGCTGTCGACGGGTCATTAATTGAGTGGAGAAAGCGACAGAGAGTTGAGTGATGGATAACAAGCGACAGGGAAGAGGGTGTTGTGAGGAAAGGAAAGGATCCAGCGATGTAAAAGGAGAATGTGATGGACAAAAACAGAAATATGGGGGAGGTTGGTACGTAGCAGGAACGAGGGTGTGCAGATGAGGAGAATTCGGGGAATAAGCTGTCAAAAAAAGTATTAAGTAGTTAGTCAATTATAGTAGGAAAAAGAGCAAGCCCTCTCTTTTACTCTGTGAAAGAGAGAGAGATCCATGGGTGAGTACCGGACCCCGAAAAGGCAAAAGAAAACACACGACCACCTACATCATCCTCACGATCACAGTCCATCTCCTATCCTAGTCAAACCGCAAATCTGGGTCCTGGGAAGCGCGACACAAGCTAATCCAGGAACCTAGTCTAGAAGGAGATGATGGAAGTGACATATCGTCGCCAGTGGACCCAACCAAGTGGGTGCGGAACTGTAGGCGACAGCCGCTTATTCCTTAATTACTTTTTCCCTTTTTATTTGCCCTGGGGTGTGTTGCTTTTTCTCTCTTCTGCGCTCGCATCTTTAAGCTTTCGCCCCTAAAATTAGGATTTCCCCAGGGAGGAGCTGAGGTTCGACCCGGGAATGCCTGGACTCTGGATCTGGACCCCAATTCCCGATTCATGCGCTTCCGTTTGGGGGCTGAGCTGGTTCCAGCCCTGCGGTGCGCTGCGACTTTGGCGTGCAGATCTGCCCCGACGCTGTTTAATCTGTCTATCCTGGTTCTCAAGAGCATCGGCCATCCTGATGGAGTATCAAGTAAGTCCTCATTCTGAAGATGGTTTGTTATCTTTGTTGGGACAAACCTCCTCATCTCCACCATCTTGCCCAGTCTCTAGTTGTACAGAGACAGAGGCGGACGACTTCCCAGTTCCCACCAGGTTGATAGAGGATGGGGCACGTCCCAAGAGAATATTTGGGGAATGATAGACAAATCTCTGTCACTTCAGTCAAGAAAAAGCATCCCTGTTTGTCACCCTGAATTTTCGGAAACGTCATGCCCAGCCGATTTGGGAAAGCCGGGCTATCTTAGTGTCGTCCATGAAGACCAGCTCATCTCCGGTCTATCTGATTAGGATGCCCCATCTGCTGAGCTTCTACCAACTTGTTTGATCTTGTAACATCACCGAGCTGCTCCGGTCGTCAAGTTGACAGTGTCTTTTCTGTCTTTTCGACTCCTCTCACGGCCCACGACAGGAGCACACATCGGCATCCTCTTACAGTCGATCCACCATCACCAGCAGGGATTCCCCGACCGGACAAACAACAAGTACACAGGCACATCTTTTCGCCTTCAAGCCAAGATCTGCATCGCATCGTCCTTTGGTTCATACCCCCCTTCGTACCTTCTACTCGTTTACAGGCGCCACCGCAGGACTACACATTTGGCAGGCCATCGAACAAATGGGCGTTTGCGAAAAACTCGATGGCTGTGGGGGCGGCGCTCTTCCGGCCCTGGTGATAGGAAGGTAACAAAAAGACGTATCGAGAAGCCAAAAGTACCTTGCGTCACCGGAACCGGGCTACGCAGCTCGAAGCCCAGCACCATGGGAGACCAAGTGGTCCTAGGGGCAACACTAGTAGGGACCGAAGCGCACCGGACCAGAAATATGCCCGGGAGCCACTCCCGGTAGATCAGGGAAGCGTGCAGCCAAATGTTCAAGTTTCGACTAGGGACAAATTCACCATTACCTGATTGAGAAGAAAAGCGGATGCTGTCCCCTCCAGGCCCGTGAAACTAAGTCAATTAATCGGAGCACCAAGGCCAGTCCGGCAATATACCACCCTATTGCATTCTGTTGTTTATTGGTCCCCGACAGGGGTACCCATGGACCACGAACCGTGGAGCGCGACATGGACGACTCGGATGTTTTACACACGCCGCACCTTTCAGCCCACGGCGTGGCTATTCAAACATCCCCCGGGAGTTATCAGCAGGGAGCCCAGTGCTTCCGACCCAGGCTTATGCCGTACGAAGGTTATGTAACAGTCACACATCTCACGACAGATGACAACTGCCAGCCATGTGCGTAAGAATTGGCCTGAGCGCCGGGCCGAGTTGCGAGCCAGTGTCATGCTTGAATAGGAGCATAAGAGGAGAAAGCTCGGGGCACTTGACGCACCGCGTGCCCATTCGGTTCATTGGCATTCAGACGCTTAGTGAATCTAGGTGCGAGCGCCCCGGAGATGTCAACTTGGAGCGACGGGCGCCTGTGATTTGCCGCGGCAATTTGAATTTACTCCTTAGCACCAGCCGGCTCTCCGACTAGATCCAGCGCCAAAGCATTTAGCTCCTTCAAATGGAGCGGACCCCTGGCATTCAGCGACTCAGTTGGAGGGATCGACGCGTCCGACTAATTTGGGTGAGCGGAAGATTTCCCGCAGGTCAACTATCCTCCGGGGCCTCGCTTGAAAGTGAGGAAATTAGCAAGCAATGACGGTATGAGAAACAGGCCAGCCGCAACGGACAAAAGTACGTGCTGGCAGGATTGGCAGACCCGTTTCTGTCACACCAGACAGAGTTTTTCTTCTTTCCTTATCCTTGCCTTTCTATACCTCAGCTTGCCATTCCCGATTCTCCTGTGCCACTTCGAAGGTTAGTGGGCTTGTGGCTGAAATAACCTCAAAGGTATCGCTGGATACTGGACAATCCCTTCAGCAAGCCACTCAAAATCGTACCTGGTTGGCGGGCCCGCGGGTCCTCTGCAAATGCCCGGAGCGATCGGCCACGGATCAGCAAGGAGCCCGAGAAGGTAGAGAGACTAATTCATAAAATAATTTAGTTGGCTGGGAAGTCTTTACCTCCAACGCCCGGAACGTTCTCTGCATCGTACATTGGAGAGGGGGTGCAGGTAGAGTCAAGGATATGCAGACGGAAGGACGGGTGCAGGAGCTGTTTAGGACCCATGTTCGACCGGGCTAGAACAACGGCATTCTTTTCCACGATTGTGATATCACGTACGAAGGACCGGGGAGAGTCTAATTGACCTGCCGTAGCTAATGTCTGCACGCAACTGCTAATTAGTCAAAGTTTGCATGTCGGGGCCTCTCTCAGTGCTTCCGGAAGGTGTCATCAGCAGAGGATACCATCCATCACCATTTCGGCTAGCGGAAGGTACCGGTGTCAAGTGCAGCAGACAGTGAATGCTGCCGCCAACCAACATGTACAAGTTGTGCGCTCAGCACTCGGCCTCATGCACACCGCTATTGTTGTCATTAAACCAGATCAAGGATACGGAACATATCCACTGACTGGAACCGGGCAGCTGTCCGGCGGTTCCGCTGTACGACCTTTGATAGCCATTGAATGAAGACAAGTGCGAGGCGCCCTTCAGCTGGCTCCTGTCAAGCCAAACTACCGATACTATAGGCTAGATCTCTTTTCGCTCCCAAACCTGTCAGAACGATGCCGAACTTGGAGTAAGTTCCACCCGGAGGCTACAGACATTCCATCCTGGGAAGCGCTGGAGCTGAGCTGGCGGACAGTCCAAACTATCACGCCACAATAGATCGATTCATGACGAATGTGGAAGCCAAAATTTGTAATATTCAAAACCTGTACATGCTAAAAGACTACACTTAACGTATACTGTAATGTCCGAGATGTTCTCTTGCATCAATTCCACTGGCCAAGGCCGCAGGACGTAAATCCAAGAAACTGATGCCTTCATTCCTCGGCCAACCTTGTACAGCACCACTACCGTCACACACCGAATGGCATGAGAAGATAATGGGCCGGACAAGATTGGACAATTGATCTCCCAACGCTCCGTTAAGAACATCCTGTGAATTAGGTCCGGAGACAGGTCTCCTTTCCAACAAGACGCTCTTGCAGTACCCAGAGTGGACTGCATCGCTGGTGTAAAGTTGTGACGTGTTCCTCAATTTCCGTGCCATTGTAAATTGACCGGCCTGAGCGCACCTACGCAGGAAGCAGAAATGACAAGGGAAAACGACAGCCTTGATCGCAAGGGCTAATGAGACTAGGGTTCCGGGCCCCGTCCTGATAGATTCGACAGTAGAGCTAGTCTTCATAATCGACGTGTAGCTGGCTGAAATGTATAGCCGTCGCATGTCCACACCGTATGGTTGAATTTAGCTTCAGTCATGAGTTGTGAGTGAGAAAAGGTATCCTGATGTTATCATCACATAAGATGATGCTTGCGACACATAAATCGAAGCAAGGGAAGTCGCCATGCGCTATACGGAAAAAGGAAGAAGTCATCAATTTTACTCGTCACTGTCTTTAGTCATCATCTTACCGATCTCCGGGCTTGTTATAGAGCTGCCAGGGATACTCGGGAGGGAAGTTGGAAGAGAAGGGAAGGCAAGGAGCGCCAGGACCCTTCGAATGCCGAAGGCTGAGGCCAATTGACAACCCCGAATCAGTCAGTAAGGTGGAACAACGCCGAAACACTTGGACAAATTAGCAATCATCCTGTATCCAGATTCGGAAGGCGACTAACCTTTCACCGTAATGATGGCGTCTGATGCTTTCGGCCAGAAGACTCGAGATATCAATGACAATCAACTTCTTTGACCTCTTCACCACCTGCGGTGGAACAGGGAAGCTGTTCGTGACGACAATGTGGTCGATCGACTCACAAGCTTCCATCTGTTCGAGGGATTCCTCCGTGAAGAGGCCGTGGGTGGCAATGCAGTATACCTTCTTGGCACCGCCCTTCTTCACTACGGTTTCTGCTGCGGCAGTCCAGGATTTACTCTTGTCGATCATATCATCGACAAGGAACACGGTCCGATCACGGACGTCGCCAACCAAGGTGATAGTCTTTTCTTGCTCAACGTGCTTTCCGCTGCTGCCCTCTTCGTCTGAAGATTCAGCAGCATCGAAAGAGCCACCTAGAGCATGATCGCCTGGAAGGGAAGAAGTGTTGGATATGAGAGAGTTCACCATTGAGTCTGGGACCTCGGGCTCATCACGGCTGGCACTCTGCCCCGGAGTTGTTTCCCCTGAAGCGGGATGTGAAGTTGGGCCGGTTGACGGGTAGTCGTCGTCCACAAGGTGACCTTGCACGAGCCGCCCAGTAATGACCTCGCGCACTCGCACATCAGTATACTCATGTGCAGCTTCCAATTCCGAAGGACGACGAGCGCCTGATGGGGTTTCAGGACGCAAGTAATTTGCCGCTACGAGAGACTCCATGTTGCTGTTTGGCTCACCCCTAGCATCTTCGGATTGACTGCACTCACTAGTTCCACTTTGTAGGTGGAGAGTGAAAGGGTCTTGATCCTTGTCCTTGGCGACGGGAGTGCTCTCTTCCTCGATCGAATCGAAAAAGACAGTACTATCCGCCATACCGAGGGGTACTTTCGGTCGTCTCCTATCAGTCGTGACGATGCCAAAGTTGAGTTTGAGTGTGTCTGCTAGCGAGGTGACACGCTTGGTGCCTCCTGCATTCTTGCTGACCACAACAGCTTCGCGCCAACCCGGCACGTTCATGCGAATCCAGCGGGCGATGAAGGGCTCGGCGAACAGGTTATCCACGGGTTTTCCGAAGAAGCCCTGCATTTGGGATGCCTAGCGATCACGTCCATAAGAACTCCATCCATGCCACGCAATAAAGCATTTGCGAAACCAGCGCAACAGACAGATCGCCTTGTGACTCACATGCAGATCCAAAGTTATCACATGGTCCACCCCAGCGATCGAGAGAAGGTTAGCCAACATGCGGGCAGTGATGGCACCACGGTGGCTCTTCTTCTTGGACTGGCGGGAGTACGGAAAGTACCTCGTTTGTGTCAGCATCAGACGTGCAGCCATGGAGTCAAGTAAAAGCATACGGCATGACCGCTGGAAGTAAGAAGTATGCGTCAGTCAACGACAATGGATTGGCGGGAAAGATATCCGCACATACCTGTGATAGATTTTGCGGACCCGCCCTTGCAGGCGGAGATCATAATCAAGAGTTCCATGACACTGTCGTTGATCTTTCCGCTGCCGCTCTGGACAATGTAAACATCCTGGTTACGCACCGACACCCCAATGTTTACGCTGGTCTCGCCGTTGCTGAATTTCCCAAGATCGGCACGAGCCGGCTGGGTCCCCAGGCGTTCACAAATGGTTTCAGCCAGAAGGGGGTGGGATGTCCCCGAGAAGATCTGTACTCCCCGCATCTTAGGATAGAGATGAGCTAAAAGACATAGACCATTGATCAAGAGGGAAGAAAAGACAAGGTGGGCAGCAAGATCATCTCAAGCGCCCGAAGGAAGGGAAGCAAGGAGGAAAAGGAAAGGGGAAAAGGAGAAGAAAGGGAAGGAAAGTGGAGGGAAGTGGAGGGAAATGAAAGAAAAAGAAAATTAGTCCGGAGTTTTCTCGTCGGGAAAAATTTCAAGTGGAGGTTCGAAAACGAAAGCAGTTTGGGTGCCTGTGGCTCCCCGTAGCAGAGCTCCCCCCCACTTCTTCCAAACCCTCGGAGCCCAAAGATAAGCTCCCCTGTAACCCCGCGGTCAAGTGAGTTGGCCTGCACGTTGTTCGATCATGGCACACAAATTCCCTCCCGTGCAAGGAGGAGGCTCCCTCATAGTCGCCTGGCAGGCGAAAGCGAAACATGTTCTAGTTGTCGGTGGTGGAGAAGTGAGCTTCCCCTTGCTTAGACCGTTTATCCTGACTCTTTACAATATATAATTGTTGCTTACCGAGGATTCCGCCCCAGGTAGCTGCAGGTCGCATCCTCCACGCCCTCAATGCCGATGCCAAAGTAACCGTCGTCTGTCCTACCTCCGGCCTCAACGATGAAGTGGCATTCAGGGTAGCAGAAGGACAAGTTAATCACATCGACAGGAACTTTGAGGCTGCCGATCTGGATGACGCAGATATGGTACTCTGTGCCATTGATGACCCGGAAGCCTCGACACAGGTCTGGAAGCTCTGCAAGGAGAAGCGCATCCCTGCAAACATAGCTGATGTACCGTCGGAATGTGATTTTTACTTTGGTAGCGTCCATCGCGATGGGCCATTGCAGGTCATGGTCAGTACCAATGGAAACGGACCCAAATTGGCCAGCATTGTTCGCAAGAAAATAGCGGACACCCTCCCCGACAATATGGGCGCAGCTATAGACAACGTTGGTAAGCTGCGGAGGAAGCTCAGGGATGTCGCCCCAAATCCTGACCAGGGCCCGAAACGAATGAAGTGGTACGCTTCTCCTAATCTCGCCATGCGCTCGGTACGATGACCTCCTCCCCGCTGATCGATAATATAGGATGTCTGGAGTTTGCGAGTCATGGAGCTTAGAGGATCTTGTTCAGATGGACGACAGTGACATGGACGGTCTCTTAGCCCATTACGCATCCGGGAAGATCCCGACCCTGAATGAAGTTCGGTCCTCTTGACCGAAACCACTCAGTAGAGACCTTGTAGCACTATGACTGATGATGGCTTCGTGAAACCCACGACAGCTCAGACATGCCAATTTATTGATGATCGCTTAGTGACTCAGACCTATCATTAACGGAAATGCTCCCATGATAATTACTATTTTGTACATAGAATATAAGCCCGTTGAAAGGAACAGCCTTGAAGGGTAATAATTGAAAATGATGCAATGCTGTGCTAGGTCTACATTCAATACTCCTCCAGATTGATAAAAAGCCCTACGGTCCTGTAGGGGAGGATATCCAAGAAAAGCGCAAAACGAATAGTGAAAACAACAACATCAACACAAAACACTCAAGCACTGGTCTTCTCGTCTAGTGTCCCCCGCTGTGTTTGCGGGAGTACTGACTCGACACAGAGTTCCTGTGACCAGACTGCAGAGATGTTTGGCCGACAGGTATACCTAGTTTCGCCTCACCGATTCGGCGCAGCAAGGATTGGAGTGAAATCCGAATCTCGGGGTTCAGGTCACGAGCCAAGAGATCAACGGCTAATGGGTAGAAAGTCCCTATGTGCTTGTCGAAGCCGTCGGAAGGGAAGTTGGTGTAGCCTTCGAGGACATCCACAACAACTGGACGCCAGGCAACCACGTTACGATGCTGAGAGTCTTCGTCAAGACGGACGAAGCTGCGAATTATATCCGCACAGAGTCTGGCGGAAAGATGACTGGTTAGTAAAGAAGCCTAGATCACTTGAGATTGACGAAACTTCGGTTGTGAAACTTACGGAATCAAAGCTGCCTCTGTTTCAGCACGGCTGCTTCTCCGCTCCTCTCTTTCATCGTGATACATTCGGAAGAGGATGTGGACATATGTGGCGGCGCTTCCACTCTCTTGTTTGAGGAGGTTGGGAGGTTGCTTCATGAACCCTTGACGCCAAAGCTGCATCCGCAATTCCTTGTCCTCGTTGAACTTCTTCGCGAATTGATAACTCTTCTTCAGCAAACCCATCAGGCGAAGCAGCTCGTGACTGGGAATTTGGGCGTAGACTTTATCATTTGAAAAAAGTTCATGGACAGTCTCGATCATGAGCAGCTGGAGCACACAATTGGTTATGATACGGTTGAAGAACCGGCGTCGAGCCACGGTAACTGCGGCCGGCTGTTGCTGGGCATCTGCCTGAGGTCTGTAATCCTCCAATGCAGGAGTTGAGGCCGCAGGCATGTCACCCTCTTCGTGCTCAGAGGTCACATTTTGCGTTCCATTGGCCTTTTGCGCTTCAGCGACGTGTTCCTGATCGGATGCGGTTTCAGAAGACTCTTGTCCCGACTCTTCATTCGAGGCTGATTCTCCATTTGCAGGTTTCAGCGAGCCAGGCGATTTTGAAGAGATGGACGCAGCAGCGGTAAACAACTCGTAAGCTGTAGTCTTGCTGAAAAGCTCGACAAAAGCGCCAACGACCTTCTTCCAGTGTTCCAGCTGGAATTTGGTAACATTTTGCAAGATTAGCTGCTGCAAACAGTTGCTACCGATCCGTGCAATCGTATCATTCTCCTGACAGATGCACAAAGTGAGGAGCTCAAGAATCCGACCGAGCATGTACTCCAATGCGTCGAAGTAATGGGTGAACAGAGTAATCATATTCCGCAGTGCTTGGATCATGGTGGTTGACAGCCACACAGAAAGCTCTTCATGATTAGGCACCTTAGACATCTCCGATTTGGACTGTAGCACCACGAAGATAGGATACAGGAGCTGCCTCCAAAGTACATCCCAGAATTCTTGCGGGAATTCACCGCCATGACGGATCAATGTCTCAAAGAGATACGTCAACGCTTGTGACCGGACTTCAAGATCGTCACCAGTCATCAGAACATCTTGGAATGCGATCAAGATCGGGTACCAAAATTGCTCCTCCTTGGACTGACGGGTGAGCTGCTGGGAAAGGTTGGTAGCATCTTCATGGAAGCCCTCCGGTGATGCACCACGGTGAGACAGCGGGCACTCTGGCGTCCTCAGCATTTTCGTAACAGTAGACTTCAAGGTCTCAATTGCCTGCAACGACTTCTTCTGGAATTTTGAGTTTTTGGAAAATTCAGTGAGGCAGACAACGAGGTCAGGGAAGGCACCCTGTGTTATAACGACTCCAAAGCGAGTGTTGTAGATCTGGGTCACATGCTCGAAAGCCATATTGACAATGCCTTCATACGGCTCGCGAGCAGCAACCGTAAAGACGCCAAACATAGTTTTCCAACCTGAGCGAATGTTGTCCCCACGTGCCTGGATCATCTGGATGAGACAACGAAGAATCATATCCTTGACAGTGACAGCGTTGCTGTTCGCCATAACATGTTCAAATGGTTTGAGGAAGTCCTTTTGGAACTTGAAACCTGGCAGCTCCTCAATCTCCATAAAGCGCATCGACAGTTGGCGAAGCGAATCAAGAGCGAAGAAGACCACTGTGGTATTTGAATGGCAACCCACATGATTGAAGTGCTGTCCGAGGACCTCCCAAATCTTTGACCATTCTATCCTGACTCTCGTCATGTTGTAGTAACTGATTTCTACCAGTTTCTGCAGGCTATACGTCCGAGGAGATTCAGTTTGCCCAGACGATTGGATCTCTTGCCAGCTGACCTCGCTGAGGGCCTTAATGAAATCGATGATGGCCTCGTGGGAGAGATTGGCCGTATTGGTGAAGATGCGGTCCACTCCCCTTATCATTTCTGCAGATCGACTCTCCATTGCAACCTCGGTACGGAAAGCTGTAGGTCCATTGATAGACCGGGGGCGAGGCCGTCTTGATGCTTGCATTGACTTCCGAGATCCGTCCGTGGATGGCTGAGTCACGATACGAGCTCGAGAGACATCAGGTAGGGAACCTTCATCCACACCATCAGTGAGGAGCTGAAGACGGTCGAGTTGACTGACGCAGGTGAGAATCTCTCTCCAAGAGCCCTTGAGATGGTTTCCTTCCGTAAGAGCGACGTCAAGCAAGGCTTTCAATGCCTCCACGTTCTTTGCTACCATCTCCCTGACGTTGCCCAAGTTGGTAAACTTGGCCAAGGCGGTCACAAACGCGACCCGCGGGGTCTCAAGTTCGAACGCGCAACTGATACGTATGGCCAACTTCATACCTCCCATGCAAAGTCGGATGATTTCGAGGTATTGGGTGTCCTGCATCGGAGCAGACAAGCCAGAAAGGAAAGACATCCAGGTGACATTGAACATGGAACCAACATGTTGGACAGAGGTTGCCGGGATGAAGCGTGAGAGAGCTTCCTTGACAGCTGTTTTCCGCTGAGCCCGTATCAGACTACGATAAAGCTGCTCGGTCTTGTTTGCCATTTCCTCAGAAGCCTGCGCGTACTTTTCACCTTGGATATCGCGTCCCACCGTTGCAAAAACTTGTCCAGCCCTGGACGCGAGGCCACCGCTGGGTGCAGACGTCGGAATGCCAAGATTGGCAGCATGTTCTCTCTCAGTATCCAACACGATTTCATTGTTTGCGATTTCGTCGTAGATGGAACCAAGATAATCATCAGGCAAATCCTGGTTATCATTGATACCCCTGTTGTTCTTGATGAAATCTTCCTTCGTCATGCGGCGGCCCTTGATCTTGGCACTATGCTGATCGGTGTTGAGCATGATGACGGAGTAAGCAAGAACGTAGGCCGTATCCGCGTTTGCAAATGCGTTCGGATTCTGCGTTACATAGCGCTCTGCAAACTTGAGCATGAAGCGATCGATCTTCTGTGCCTCTCCTGGCAAGCGGAAGTGCTGTAGGAATTGACGCAGAGCATCGACGAAGCGCCGCTTCGAAAACTCCATCATATCAACGAAAGCATGCATGATAGCGATATTCTCAGGCTCTCCTTCACCGAGATACTCACCAATCATGGCTTTATCCAACCGTTCATTCCGGAACAAGAACGCGGCTATGTCCTCCGGTGAACTGGAACGTACAAAGCCATCTTTGATAAAGAGCTTGATTCCCCGCTTGGCCTTGAAGTTGAACTGTTGGATGGCGTTGGTGAACGCGATCTTTCTTTGCTTGACCTTCTCAATCTGGCTCGGGTCGTCCTCCGCCACAGGTGTGGTACTGCCGTCGGTGCTTTCGATCCTCGGAGAAGAAAGGTAGGTAGCGGCAGTCGTTTCCATTGAATCCCTAGGATTGTCGATTGACTTCTGAGAAGAGGAGTTAAGAACTGGCGCCGCTTGATCGACCAAACGCTGGGAAGCCCAGTTGTCTAATGACTGAAGGATTTCCACCAGGCACTCGACCGCCTGATTCTTCAATATATAATCAGGGGGCACATGCTGTAGGTTTGGCTGATGAACATTGGCTACGCTAGCTGTGGTAAGGTTGGGCGGTAGAGTTCCCCGTTGATGCCAGTCGTTACCGATAGTCGAAACCTTGACATGATGCTCCTGATACTGTTGTTGCTGGAAAGCGGTGACTGTGACTGGGATACTTGCATACCGTGACAACTGCTCAATAATACTGGAGAATGGTCAGAAATCAGACTGCAGAATAATGAAATTATGACATACTTTTGGAAAATATTTTCCAACGCGGTTCTGTCGCAGTCATAGTTGAGGTACATTTCCACCAAGGCGCGCGGATCACCTGCCAATCGCTCCAAGATTTCCATGAAGTACTGTTTCTGGAAAAGGGGAGAATTGCGCTTTTCGAGAATAGTCAAGTATATCTCTTTTAGGAAAACCTCAAGTTCTTTCTGCTGGCTGTTAGATCGACTCGCGCGATAAGTCCATAAATCTTACTAACCTTCATCATCACTCTCATATCCTTCAGCATTAGCCAGAATATCTCACAGCAAACTTCGAACACTCTAGGCACCGAGCTAGACCCATTCCGACTCAAACTTAAACACAAGTGAGGCCGGACAGCTTGTAGTAGTGTCATAGCATCCGGGCTGTTGGAGCTATTTTTTATAGTCAGGAGAGGAGATGTAAAGGTCACAACGTGATTGTTGATGAGGTAATGAATAAGGTGCAATGAGAGCAATTTTGATCTCATGTTCTGAGACTTGAGATCTTGCTGTTGATCATGGCTCAGTATTTTGTGGCTCAGCTTGCAGAGTGCCCTGAAAACCAAAAATGCGTCTTTGACATATATTTCGTCTTCATCATCATCATCGGAAGTGCCGTCAATGTCCTCTGCTGAGGCTGCAGACATTGACCGAGCAGATCTCTGATTGCCTCTGGCACGAGTAACCATCGTGGGAGCATTATCGTTGACCGAGGTCACGTCCTTGTTCGACTCGAAACTTTGCAACGTCAATTTCTCCACGGGCTCCTTCGTGACAGGCTGGTCGGAGGCTACGGCAGATGGGGCATCTGAGTCGTGATCATCTTCTGTTGCTTGTGGTGTGTCGGCTGTTTCTAGAGTCACAGCATCCGAAGAGCCTGTCTGGCCTTTCTCGCCATCGCGCAAACGTAGCTCTTTCAAGTCCAACCGTACCTGGACCCTATCAAATACAGTGCTGACCATCTGTGTCAAGGACCCTTGGGCGATTTGCTGATTCTGAGATGATTTGGAGTAGATGAAGATGTTGTAGATCTGGCGGACAGCCTTCAGGAGACCTGCTCCATGCACGACGATCTTGTCGTTCAGAACTGCCGCAAGGAGTGACTTGATGATTTGTTGTTGAATCTCAACGGGTGTGGCTTCGTTCTCAAAGCAGTCGCAGATCGCATCAATTGCTCGCTCAATCAGGGGTGGCTGTTCAGGGTTGGCCTCCGACTCTGGCGTCTTCCCATCTTGAGATGAAGGGAAGGCGAAGTAAGAGTAGGTTATCAATTTTCCGATGCAATCGAGGGCCGTGACCTGTAGAGGAATACTGAAGGTTTTCGTGGCCAGCTGCAGAGGGCGGAATATAAGCTCAGGGTCAATGGGCTGGCCATCCGACTGTTTGACGTTTGCGAGGGCACTCTTCACAGCATCCTCAAGTTCTTTGCTTCTCCGCGCTTCCTTAGACGCGCCGATTGTATCCAACGCCGTCACAATAAAAACGGTAGAGCTGACCGTGACCGAGCGATGTGTTGCAAATGTAGCTGTCGTCGATCTTGAATCGGAGCGCATGCGTGAATCGGAGGGAATCTCATCTTGATGCGGGATGGAAGCAACATCTTGCTTGTCAGCCGAAGATTCCTCTTCAACATTGACAGCCGGAACTACCGGTGATGTCTCCGCAGGTTGGTCCTGTGTATCGGGCTTCGAGGTTGACTCAGGCTCGGTGTCAGCCTTGGGTTCTGATGATGCGACGGCTTCCTCCGGAGAGCTTGGGGCTTGACCCGGCGACTCTGTGTTTTCAGCAGTTTCCAATTGTTCTGGTGATGAATGAGCCTCCTCTGATCCCTGAGCATCAATTCCTTGACTATCCGAAACCTCCGGTGGTGCGGGTTTATCTCCGTCGACAGGTGATTCCGTATGCGCTAGGACATCGCCGGCAACATCCTCCTTGTTGTCTACCGGCGGCAGGGTTGTAGATGTTTGGGTTGGTGGCTCGTTCACAGAGCCATTCTCGACTTCCGCCATTTATGCAAGACTCCGTCCGGAGTGTTGGGAATTAGGCAGACGAGGGGTCCACATGGGACTGAAAAGCAACTAAAGGGGTATATGCAGGTCTGAGAGAAAGGGCCCTCTAGCCTCCTGGACGCTGGGGAACTGATGCGTGTTCACTCCGCGGACGGGGAGAATGTACGGCTGCCGCTAGGGGCCACACCCGCCGCGCTGACATAATCAGGCCACGGCGGCGCCCGGCGAGTCTATTCCGATCGCTCACCGGGAAGCTCAACAGAAAAGTTCCTGGAGCTGCAGTTCTCAACTCCTCTGATACGGGCCCTTCCATTCCGCCAGATACGCCTCCGGCTCCCCCTTTCATCCCATTTAATCCCCTCATTCCCGTCTCGGGTCTATTTCTCTATCACATATAGCATTTGGGCGCCATGGTTGCTTCTGCTGTCCGGATGCGCGCTCCCAGCGCCATGTTCCTCTCCAAAGGCGCCCTCTCCCTGAAGCGGCCGCAAACTGTTCACAGATTCAAGGACATCGCTCAGTATGTCGCACCACCTCGTTGAAGACCACCTGGCTGTCTACGAAGCATGCTAATCATACTTGTGTGTCTTTTTAGATCTCAATTGCCTTCCCTGTCCGCCCTTTCCCGTTTTTATGCCTCCAAGTGTATGCCGTTATTCTTGTCGCCTCTGATTTGTGGATGATCGGATTCTAACATATTGGATCTGCAGCCTTCCCTCCCCACACTGTCATCAGCATGCCGGCCTTGTCGCCGACCATGTCCGCCGGAAACATTGGAGCTTGGCAGAAGAAGGCCGGTGATTCCCTGCAGCCCGGTGATGTCCTGGTAGAGATCGAGACCGATAAGGCCCAGATGGACTTTGAGTTCCAGGAAGAGGGTGTTCTGGCCAAGGTTCTCAAGGAGACTGGCGAGAAGGACGTCTCTGTCGGTTCTGTATGTGATAACTCTTCTGCTCTGTTCTTGGCCCCCACCGAATCCTTTGCTGACCGCTATTGCATTAGCCTATCGCTGTTTTGGTTGAGGAAGGTGTCGATGTTGCCGCTTTCGAGGCTTTCAGCCTGGCGGATGCCGGTGGTGAGAAGGCTGCTCCTGCTGCTGAGGAGAGCAAGCAGGAGTCCAAGGCCGCTGAGGCTGCCCCGGCTTCTGAGCCCGCCCCTGCTGCCGTGGAGCCTGAGACTTCCGGCGAGAAACTCCAGCCCAGTCTGGACCGTGAGCCTTCCATCAGCCCTGCTGCCAAGGCCCTGGCTTTGGAGAAGGGTGTGCCGATCAAGGCTCTCAAGGGTACCGGCCGTGGTGGCCAGATCACTAAGGAGGACGTTGAGAAGTACAAGCCCAGTGCTTCTGCCGGCCCTACCTACGAGGATATCCCCCTGACCTCCATGCGCAAGACCATTGCTAGCCGCCTCCAGCAGTCCGTGCGCGAGAACCCTCACTTCTACGTCTCCACCACTTTGTCTGTGAGCAAGCTCCTCAAGCTTCGCCAGGCTCTGAACGCATCCTCCGAGGGCAAGTACAAGCTTTCCGTCAATGACTTCCTCGTCAAGGCCTGCGGTGCCGCCCTCATGAAGGTCCCCACCGTCAACTCCAGCTGGCATGAGGAGAACGGCCAGACCGTCATCCGTCAGCACAAGACCGTCGACGTCAGTGTTGCCGTCTCTACCCCCAACGGCCTCATCACCCCTATCGTCAAGAGCGTTGAGGGCCGTGGTCTGTCCAGCATCTCCAACCAGATCAAGGACCTGGGCAAGCGCGCCCGCGACAACAAGCTCAAGCCCGAGGAGTACCAGGGTGGCACTTTCACCATCAGCAACATGGGTATGAACCCTGCTGTTGAGCGCTTCGCTGCCGTCATCAACCCCCCTCAAGCCGGTATCCTGGCTGTTGGTACCATCCGCAAGGTTGCCGTCCCCGTCGAGACTGAGGAGGGCACCTCCGTCGAGTGGGATGACCAGATCATCGTCACTGGTAGCTTCGACCACCGTGTCGTCGATGGTGTTGTCGGTGCTGAGTGGATCAAGGAGCTGAAGAAGGTTGTTGAGAACCCCCTCGAGCTTCTTTTGTAAGCTCTTCCCTACACTGTGGAACCCCGACCGGCGCAGTATACTAGCTATCTACGATCGGAGTTTCTTTTGGCCTTGTTGTAATATGTATTAAAATCATTGAACGTTTCCTCCTTTCACGACCGTCACGGTCTGTCAAGTACAGCCTAGATATTCTCAATGCATTTCCTATGTTCCGTACTTCCATGATGTTAAGCCTTGCAGGATGTTTTGGACCATGTTATTGGCCGCACAGGTTGTACCTGATACTTGAATCAGCCTCTTTCAATAGATGCAACAACCTGTCTAGATTTATGCCTTGCAGAGCAGTAATTGGGCAGATCCATCAGGAACAACCTAAAGGGTTGCGTAGCCGCCAGTGCGTTGCGTCCGGCACGAGAGTCTTGGCGGTGCTCATAGCCTGGGCCAACCTTCGCCAGGGAATCTATGACGTGATGTCATTCCTCTCGGACGGTTCTCGTGTCCATAAATACTCGAGGTTCTCATCCCCTGAAACCTACCTCGATACTTTCCCGTGCGTCAGCCTATTACATCTTATTTTATCGTCACTTGCATCCGAATCTACTTGTGCGTTTGCTTGGCCCTTCCTGGAGGTTGCTAAGTACTCTTGGTCTTGGCATACTCCCACCTTAGATGCGCCGACTGATGACGTCCTAGATCACATATTCCTCTCAAGTCACTCGACTCACATATTAATTATGTCTTACGCAGAAGCTGCTGCCAAAGGTCCCAAGCAATCCGCAGAGGAGGTATGTTTACAGCCACTCCCCCGCCTAGCGTTCACTGCTAGTACTATACCATCCAGATTATACAGATCGCTAACAGTATGGGCAGGCGTAAGTCAACAACATCACAGAACAAAGACCCTTTCATACAGCTAACAGCTATGTAGTCGTGCCCCCAGCGTTGGTGGAGTGTACCGCGATGAAGCCGAGAGCACCGCTTCCCTGGTCGACGTCGACTCGCCGCACGTCCAGGCCGTGGATCCCGATTTCCTGAAGCAGGACGTGCAGACCACCACCCAGGCCGAGCGGATAGAGCGAGAAGAAGAGGAGCGGGAAGCCTACGAAGAACGGAGAGCCAAGAGCAAGGCTAAGGCTAAAGCTAAGGCGAAGGCTGAATCGGCTCGCAGCAACGCGCATAACCCTGTCTACCTCGGAAATGCTGTGATTCTGGCCTTGACTGGCGCTGGTCTGGGGTATGGAGCATACCGGAAACATGCTGCTGGGCAGCTTTCTTGGGAAGTGATTGGATGGGCCTCTGGCGCTATTGGTGCTTTTGGTGCCGTGGACTACTTTGTTAGCAAGTGAGTATCTGTCTGACATGCATGTGTGATGATGGCGTTTGCTAATGTGGGACGTCCCTTAGATGGCTTCTGCAGAACAAGTACCCTCCGAAATAAGGCTTGAAGTCGAGACGGAGCACTTCGTGGAGTCGTAATATCCCAGTGTGAATTCCGCGGTCTATTACTTTCTTACTGTTTGTTGTACTCCTTTAGGGTACTTGAGGCGTTTGTGCAGTCTTTGGGCGTCATAGTGTGTTTGTTACTAGTATATCCCTAATGGATTGATCTCCTCTTACCACAGCAGCCGTCGTAAGAATGAGGGCATGAAGTATTCTGCGGTGATCGCAAAGGCGAAGACATTGTCCCACGCGGGGTAGACAATTGCAAAAGAAAAAAGAAAATTCAAATGACGTAGACTGTAGAGCCGAGAGCTTTTAGTCACATCTCTAGCTTCCTGCATGGACTTGGTTTTGCTCGGACCGAGCTGAAGCGGGTCAGGCCGCACGAATGGCTGCAGTGGCAGGGGCGGTCAGCGCCGTCAGAATCGTGGCCTCTGCAAGAACATGTGGCCTTGGCCAGCATCATTGTTAGCCTGATATAGAAGGTCTCTCCTGACACGTCGCTATTTCTCGGTGCCGACTCCTAAACATTCCGCAGACTTGCTCACAGTTTTTGTACTCTTGGGAAGAAATTAGCACCTGCAAACCCAAGCTATACCTCTCCTTTTGCGGCCGGCATTGTATACAGCGCACTCACCCGATAGGGTACACCGCACAAAATGGTAAGTCGTCTACGACCTCAAGATGTGAAGCCCCAATTTGAGGGATTATGTTTATGCCTGATGGGAGCTTACATTGTCTACTGCTCAGAATTCCCTCTTCAATTCCGCCCTCAAGCAGTCATCTGCTATCCGCCGTGACCTGGACACATTCTCCCAATCGCCAGCTACCTCATCTGCCGCACTACAAGGTATGTTTCGAAACTGGTACTTGTAGAGGCTCCACTACGCGACAGAGGGAGCTAAGCTCATGTGCATGATAGGACAAATCGCGGCTTCGCTAGCATCGCTATCACGCACCGTTGATGACTATTCTGCCCTGTCCAAGAAGGAATTGATTCCAGAGAAGCAAGAGAAGGCATTCGAAAGAGTCAAGAATTTCCGATCAGAACTGGCAGATTACCGGCAACATTTTGATCGACTACGGAAAGAACGGGAGGAAGCTGTAAGAATACCACTCGCATGGTCGAGCAGCGTTGAGAGTTCCTGTTACTGACCATGGTTTGTCTACAGCAATCCGTCACCAACCGCAACGAGCTCCTCGGTCGACGCCCTCATCACACAGCTACACCGGAGAACCCATATGCCCAATCATCCCTCCCTCAGTCCTCCGCGTTCGCTCCTTCCTCATCACGATCGGGACTCAGCTTTGGAGCTTCGCCGGCCGACTACAACCGGGAAACACATGCGCTTCGTGAACAAAGCTTCCTAGCGAGCACCAACACCCAGATCGACGAGTTTCTTGATCGGGGTCGTGCTGTGCTGGCGGATTTGGGACAACAGCGTGAAGTGCTGAAAGGCACGCAGCGTCGACTATACAGCGTTGCGAACACACTGGGTGTCAGCGGCGACACAATCCGCAGGGTTGAGCGTCGCGCAAGACAAGACAAGTGGATCTTCTGGGGCGGAGTGGTGCTATTCTTCCTGTTCTGTTGGGCTGTCCTGCACTTCTTGCGATAGTTGTGGTACATATTTCTTTTCATTCCCCTTTATATTGTTTTTTTTGCTTTTACCCCTTACCTTTCTGGGACTATTGTCATTTGGTGCTTGTTTGGTGCTTGGGTTGTCTTACAAGCGCAGGCGTTTGGAGCGCATTGGCAGAGGAACTTATTGCGCATTATTGTATGTATTTGTGTGTGGATGTGGTGATGGCTAGTAGTCTATACGTAGTCCCTGCAACAGGACTGATTAGATTCGCTGTCCCCGTGCGCAATGGGAATTGGTTTGAGTGTGGAGTAACCCAGGAGTAGTGCGCCGTAGACAAGGAAGACGGACGGGTGGATGGAAAAGGTTGGGGGGACGTGGCCATCGGTTAATTTAGGGACCATGGAGCAGATCCCATAGCAACGTGGCAATGAAAGTAATTGTCTAGAGAGGTTTAATTCAATTTAAATTTACAAAAGTAAAAAGACTATCATTGGCATCGGAGAACCATTGACGACCAGCATACTTATGAGGGTCGGTAGGACGGAACCGGAGCAAGTCGCCAGGCAAGTGGACAGACAAGGCAAGTACGACAAGATGATCCGATGGCTGCCGTGGGGATCGGAAACGGAGCCATTTAGCCGCCCCAAAATCCTTCGCGCTCACCGGCCACCGACGGCTTCTCCCTTCTTCTCCTTCTTCTCTCTCTTCCTTCCTCTTCATCGCAATTGTTTCTCTTCTTTCCTCCCCATCTCCCCATCCTTCTTCCAGATAGATCTACCTTTAGTCTATCCTTCACAGTCAAGATGTTCGCTGCTCGCCAGTCCCTCAACCTCCTCCAGAAGCGTAGCTTCTCCGCTTCTGCCAGCCAGGTGTGTAGCCCAAATAAAAAAAACAATGCCTCGGAGCTCTCTTGTTCACTTGCTAACCATCGCAATTTCCATCTCAGGCCTCCAAGGTTGCCGTTCTCGGTGCCGCCGGTGGCATTGGCCAGCCCCTGTCCCTGCTCATGAAGCTCAACCCCCTTGTCACTGACCTCGCCCTCTACGATATCCGCGGTGGACCTGGTACGTCGCACAGCTTCTCCCTTCCCTCCAGTTTGAAACGCCCATCCGATCATCGGAGTCGACTAACAGAACCCTCAAACAGGTGTCGCTGCCGATGTCAGCCACGTCAACACCAACAGCACCGTCAAGGGCTACGAGCCTACCCCCTCTGGCCTCCGCGATGCTCTCAAGGGCTCCGAGGTTGTCCTCATCCCTGCCGGTGTTCCCCGCAAGCCCGGCATGACCCGTGATGGTATGCGCTGGACCACTTCAGATTTATAAAGGCACGAGCGTCAGAGTACTGATCACTCCTGTCACAGACCTTTTCAACACCAACGCCTCCATTGTCCGCGACCTCGCCAAGGCCGCCGCTGAGGCTGCTCCCGAGGCTAACATCCTCGTCATCTCCAACCCCGTACGTTGTTCTCAAATCACCACCAAAATTCTCGAACCTTGCACTAATGAGGTACCCCCCAGGTCAACTCTACCGTCCCCATCGTTGCCGAGGTCTACAAGTCCAAGGGTGTCTACAACCCCAAGCGCCTCTTCGGTGTCACCACCCTGGACGTTGTCCGTGCCTCCCGCTTCATCTCCCAGGTCAAGGGCACCAGCCCCGCCAACGAGAACGTCACCGTCATCGGTGGCCACTCCGGTGTGACCATCGTTCCCCTCCTCTCCCAGTCCAACCACCCCGACATCTCCGGCACCGTCCGTGACGAGCTGGTCAACCGCATCCAGTTCGGTGGTGACGAGGTTGTCAAGGCCAAGGACGGTGCTGGTTCCGCCACCCTCTCCATGGCCATGGCCGGTGCTCGCTTCGCCGACTCTCTCCTCAAGGCCGCCAACGGCGAGAAGGGCATCGTCGAGCCCACCTTCGTTGAGAGCCCTCTCTTCAAGGACCAGGGTGTTGACTTCTTCGCCTCCAAGGTCGAGCTCGGCCCCAACGGTGTTGAGAAGATCCACGAGGTTGGCCCCGTCAACGAGTACGAGCAGGGTCTCATCCAGACCGCCCTCGGTGACCTCAAGAAGAACATCCAGAAGGGTGTTGACTTCGTCAAGGCCAACCCTTAAATGGTTTTTGGACTTGCTTGAAGAAGGAACCAAATTGCAATACCTCTCTGCAGCCGCTTTTCCTCCCTGTATAACAGTCTTGTGATAATCCATACCCACTTCCCGCCCCCTATGCACATCCCCATCTCGCATGTGGCTTTTATATCGGAGGAAATGTAGCTGCGGAAACTCGCATAGCAATGAGTTTTTTGAGGAGCCTGGGTTTGCCAGGGGAGATGGACATGAACGTGTATTTCCTATAAATAAGAAAAATCTAATGATTCAATGACTAGTATTTGTAGCCATTCGTTGGTACTTGTAGGATTCAGAACTGCACGTTGGTCTATTTACTACCTCTCCTACAATTGCCTCGGCTGCACCAAGAAAACCGAACCCGTGGCTAAAACTCAATCACCGACTTCAACCACTCAGCCAGTCCGACCCAACCGCTTGTGACGAATCAACCACAAAACAATGAAACAGAATAATTGAAAAGATAAAACATATATAACTAGTAATAGTAAGAGGATCATAAGCGAGAGAAACCAGTAACTCTTATAGTAAATATATATATAATACTCTATGTCTATTCCCTCCCGCACCAACAACAACATCCACTCCGAGTTTTTTGAGTCATCAATTTATATTCTACTTTAGTAGTAGTAGTAGTAGTAGTAGTAGTAGTAGTAGAACAGTTAGAGGTGTGAATCACGCATCGTATCTTATTCTTGTCCTGGGACTTTTTCTGACTACAGTGATCATTATGTTTTGGTAAATTACTAGATGCAGTGGTAATGAAGGCACTTGCGGCAGGCCGGTTAGGTATTTGATGCTGAATACTGAACACTATACATACAGTCTTGATGGTTCTGTCTGAAGCATCTACTAGGTTAGTATGATAGGAAATACATAAGGCCAGTAAGTTAAGAGTGGGGTATTTCGTTTCTCATTGTATTCCAGAATGTTAACTAGTAATAGTTGTTATCTTGTCATCATCCTTGTCATCATCATCACGGGGTCGTCCACAGCAGCAGGCGCAGGTGTAGGTGTCAAAAAATCAACATCAACAGGAATAAAACAACGCATAGAAGACAGATATTTGGCAGTAGGCGACACGCAAATAAAACCTTGCTTCATACTAAGGGGTAGTTCGATCAAATTGCAAACAGAATAGACGAAGAACGGAAAAATGGGGATAGATCATAGTCTTCGCTCGAAACGATACACCGATACGATAATGCAAGCCAGATGGAAATTGACTAGGTATAACTTCTCATAGCATCGAGGTATCCTGACCCTCCGCGAAGGTCTCGATCGAAGGTTTCGGCGACCTCCAGGACACGTCGGATGTGTTCCATGGATAGAGGGTTTTGCTCGTTAACAGCCAATGCTTGGGCTGTGCGGACGGAGTTTTTGATCTAAGAACAGGTGAGTTAGTATCGGTATATGTTCCGTAGGCTGTATGGGGGGGTCTTACCTGACGCCCGTTGAGATTATGGCGAGCTAATAGATCAAAGTCCTTTTCTGTGAACGTGGCGGTTTCCACGCCCTCCTTGGCCTGCACCCGCTCTAAGAACATCTTCCAGACGCTACGCTTCGCTTTCGTGGTGAGTTCACCGTAGCGCAGAGCGACGTGAATGCGGGATTGGAAGGCGTCATCAAATGTCTCGACGCGGTTGGTGGTCAGGAAGAGGATACCCTGGAAGTACTCCAACAACCGCAGGAAGATGCTGACTAGGGCATTGCGGTGAATGTCCTGGATGGTACGCTTCTCCAGGAAAATGTCGGCTTCATCGAGCAGCAGAACGGCGCCCCAGGAATGTGCGATGTCAAGGATCTTGTTCAGCTCTGCTTCAAGGGTGCGCGGATCGGTGCCCAGCTCACCCGCGCTCACCATGTAGAGCGGGCGTTTGAGGAGCTCTGCGATGCCTTCGGCAGTAAGGGTTTTACCAGTACCGGGAGGTCCGTGGAGCACGGCCACGAGACCCTTGCCCTTGCCTTGGATGACATCGTCGATGTTCTGGGCCGCGCGGAAGGTGTGCGATTCGACCAATGCCTTGACGATGGACTTCTGGTTGTCGGGGAGGACCAGTGAATCAAAGGCATCTTCGTTCCATTCAATCTCACTGATGCCCGAAATGCTGAACTCAAGCCACAGCTTCTCACTGAAGGCGAAGCCGAGTACCACGGGGCTTGCGATGAGGAGCTCCTCTTCGGTGAATTCGCGGTCGGAGGGGTCCGCGACTTCGTCCATGTTCTCCTTGACAATTTCATTGCCGTTCTCATCCAGCTCAACCTCGACGACGTGCGGCTTGCCCTCCTTGTCCCGTACCACTTTGAATAGGAGTTGAGGGGTGTCTGAGTCGCGCGGTTGCCCGTAGGTTTGTTCTGATTCTGAGTCGGACAGAATACAGCAGCATCCATTGTTGCTGCCATCATCGTCGGAGCCGTCAAGGTAGTCGGGGTCCTTGGGACGGACGGTGCTGATGGGGTAGTTGGGATTGATGCGCCGGTGGATGGCGGGATCAACCATGACACGGCCGTTGATGTTGACCTTGATGACGGACCGCTTCTTTTTGTAGAAAGCCATACCCTTGTGATACCGGTAGTTCATTCCTCGCAGCGCCACGAATTTCTTCCCACGCTCGATCAGCTTGGCTTTAACGCTTTCGGCTTCGCGATGATACTTGAGTGGATAACAGCTCAGACTGGTGATTTTGCGGGCACCCTTGAAGGACTCCACCTCGGCGGCCATGGTTCCCATACCGAATGCTTTGCCATCGTACTCGAGGTAGCGACCCTCGATGCTGTACCATTGACCTTTCATAAACGAGGACTCCTTGGTCGCGTACTCGATCTTGAAGGCACGCGGCTCATCCTGGTTTCCGTAGGTAGAGGAGTAGGCGACGGTGTTGGGCTTGAAGATGGCCCATAGGAGATCAAAGGTAATCATGCTGGAGTCCAACAGAGGGTAGAGGGTCTTTTTGGTCTCGGCATAGTCGGTGTCCAGATACTTGACGAGCACCTTGAGATGCGATGCTTTGATTTCGGCGAGCTTGCGGGCTTTCTTCTTCTTTTCGGTCTTGGCCAGCTGCCGGAGATCTTTCATGTACTGCCGCGTCTCCTCAAGGTAGAGGAAGAGCATGTTGGGATCGACAACCGCCGTCTCTTGCACCAAGCTGACGCCCTTGACTCCATCCATGACCTTGGACAGCGCATCGCGCAGGTACTTGCTCTTGAGGTCTACTACAGTTTCCAGATACTTGTTGTCCCAGTCGAACTTGCGGCGCACGGTGAAGAGGTATTGGTCCCACTCGTTTGCATCGGGGTCGTCAACCGTCTCCGTCAGCTTGAAGTTGTGAATCGTATTGTCCCACACTGTAGAATTATGTGTTAGCTAGATCAAGAAGAGGACAGATAAAGGAAGACGCACGCTGATCTACACGCTTAAAGGCAATCTTCGAGGCAGCCTTCTTGCGCCCCTTGGACTTTTGCGAGCTCCCTTTCTGGCCGTCAGTGTTACCGTCACCCGAGCCACGCCTGCCTCGGCCTTTGCGACGCCCATCGGCTAACTTGACTCGCAAGGAAGCCAACTTTTGCTTGGCTAACAGAAGGGCGAGCTCGTCGGCGTCGGCATCCTCGTCCGCATCGTCATCGTCGTCTTGTTGCTCTTCGGAAGAGTCATCCTTGGAGCGCGACTTCTTGGTCGTCTTCTTCGCCTTTAGCTTGGCGACCAGCTTCTTCAGGGTCTTTTCATCAAGAGACGAATCGGAGTCGCTACTATCCTCGAGATCCGAATCGGATTCCGATTCAGTCTGGTGCGACCGGCTCTTCTTCTTACGGCTCACACTTTTGAGCGATTTCTTGATCTTGTTCTTGGCCCGGCGGCGACGCTGTTTGCGATCCGACTCCGCGTCGGACTCCGAGGCCGACTGAGCGTCTTCGTCGTCGGAGGTAGATTCCGCGCTGGATTCCTCGGACGAGGCATTTAGTTCCGACGAGCTGTCATCGCTGGGGGTAACAATGGAAGCGGCTTTGCGGTGAGATTTTTTCTTTTTCGAGCGGTTGGGATCCTGGTCTTTTGCAGCATGCTTGGAACACACGGACTTTTTGGGCACGGGATCGGAGACAGAGACGGGAGCTTTGGGGTCGGACTTCACTGGGGGAGCATCGACGGGCGGGTCGGCGTCAAGCTTGGATTCGGGGGAGGAGACGGGGCCACTAGCGTCGGCCATGGTGGTACCAGTCACAGCGGTCGTAGTACTGCTGGAGTCGCTGGTGGTGGCAGGGAGTGGAGCTGAGCCAGGGACCGGGACGGGCACAGGCCCACTGTTGTTGGAGCTTGGGTCGCGCTGAGTCTCGAGCTCAGTTTGCTGGGGGGAGGATTGGGAATCAGTGGGGATGGTCATGGCCAGTGAGGAGAGAAATTGGGATTATATGGAGGGAATATATGAAGTGATGAAGAGAATGCAAAAGAAGGCATAAAAGAAAGATAGACAGGTGAGGATGGATGGATGATGAAGATGAAGAGTAGTGATATGGGGTAAATGGGAGAGAGTGGATGAGGGTAGTTGGTGGATGGGAAGAAGTTTGGGGGAGAATGTCGTGGATGGGGAAATGGGAGAAAGAGAGGAAGAGAATGAGAGAATGAGGAGAGAGAGCCAGACTCACATACTCGGATGCCTAAGAAATAAAAAGTATCCTCGCTTGCAAGAGCGCCTTGCGTGTTGGCCCAGCAGATGGCGGTGTGTGCTGCCTGACCACCCAAGATGTGAGAGGAAGCAGAAGGAGTAGTAGTAGTAGTAGTAGAAGAAGAAGAAGAAGAAGAAGAAGGGAAGAGAAAAGAAAGGAAGTGAACAAGAGCAAACAAAAATGGACAAGCAGATCGACGAAACAAAAGTAATTAAATAAATAAATAACCCCAAGAGTGAGGCGATTGATTGTGACTGACTGAGAGCAATGATGCCTGTTCAAAGTTGCTCTCTGCCTGCTGCATAAATAAATCCAGTAAAACTACTTACACCCTAAAAGAAAGAAACTCGCCGGATTGGGGAAGAGGCTGGGATAGCTTCAGAAACTGGCAGTGCCAATCAGAATAATATGCAAATCTCACCGGGTCAGCAAATGCATCAGGATTGGATTGTCACCCTGCCAGACGCTTGGGGAAAAAAAAAGTGGCACAGACTTCCGAACCCCCCAAACCCAAACAGCCATTCAGCCGCAGGATCATCAACTGGATCATCTCGCGCAGAAGTCTTAGAGGGAGAGCCATCCCCGGTCACCGACATTTTGCCAACGTGCGTGTGTCTCACATGCGCTGTCAGTGCAGTTTCCAGTCACGCTTGGGGATGGAAAGTTGACCCCAATATTCAGATGGGATGATCATCCCGATGGAATACTACTAGTAAGTAGTAAAGTAGTCACGGAATAACAGGCAGAAGCAGGCAGTAGTGACATACTACTACTCGACTAAAGTTAGAATGAGGAGTCATACTGACCCTTCATGAACACTGACAGGCAAGCCTGGCTCGTATTCGTCCGAGTTCTGACCAACTGATATTCTCCGTTCCAGTTCCAGATCCCTGTCTGCCTGCAGCTGAACCAGGTGAAGAATCCCGACTCCATTGCAATGCCCCGGATGTTCTTCCGCGGCAAAGTACCCCGGCTCCGTACTTTTGTACCGTCAACCCTAAGCAACATTCATGTTGTCTTCCAACCGAGAGTTTGAGATCTCGAATTAAGATGCTTACTCGCATTCCAATACAACTATATGTTCCTACTACTAATAACAGGGTAGACATTACAGTGAGCATACTCTACATGCAAATATGTGGATGATCCCGATATCTCCAGATACTTACCCCGGAGTATACCTACACAAGCCAGTAAACTCGACGTTGTTACATCTACACATATCAACTTCAATTGTCATCTATACCTAGCTAGCATCATCGCTTTCAAGCGTAGTGCTCCATAGTTGTATACTGCACTCACCTCTCCTTCACCTAAACGCAGATACTCCTAGTATAGTAGTAGACTACAGTATGAGTCCACCATTCTTACTATCATAAATCCACACCCAAACAACTACACCTAATATCAAGATACATAATACATAGACCACAACACTCCCCAAACCCTGGGTAGTTCCTACCAACCCAACCCAGCTGATCCACAACTACAATTCACTTTAACAAGAACAGAACAGAACAGAAGAAATCAAATCAGTTTACTGTCACAGCAACACTGACCCAAACCAGAATTCACTTCCAGGTTGTTCATCCTCTTCTGCCACTCTCATCTTCCCATTACCATTCCCACCTCCCTCCATCATCCTTCTACACACCATCCCATACCACAAATAACAAGACATCAAACTAAGAATGTCACCGACCTTCACCCCAGTCAACAATACCCCCGTCCACAAGAACAGCACTGTTCCAAAGACCCCTACCAAGAAAACCAACGTGGCAATGGTAAGTACTATACATACACCCACATAAAACCATACCATACACACACACACACACAGCTAAGATAAACCCATAATAGACCCCCCAAACCCCAACTCCAACCTCTACCACCAACAGCAAAAAACGCCTCACCCCATCATCCCCCACCAGCCCTAACAACAAACGTACTAAACCTCGCACCCCTCTCCCACCCATCCCAACGACCCTCGCCTCCGCCAGCGCCTCCGACCTCCTCATCCTCCGTCTTCGGGACGAATCCTCCACGCCCTGGACTGCCATCAACCAGGCATGGACGGACCTCACGGGGATCAGTGTGGGCGGGTCGACCCTCCGAGCGAGGTACAATACCATGAAGAAGAATTTTGTGGTGGTGGATCCGGGTGATGTATCCCTCCCCATTCTATACTATATATGTAATCTATGGGGGGAGGAAGTAGGGTTTGGCTAATGTGTGTATTACTATGTGATAGGAAGCAAAGATCCTCCAAGCTAAGAAGGATGTTGAGGGACGATTGGAGATGGAAAAGTGGAGATTGATTGCTGAGGAGGTGGGAAAGGTTGGTGGGGGGACTTATCCGGGGGAGTGTTTGAGGAAGTATGTGAGGGAGATGGAGAAGGGGATGAAGGGGGGTATTGCTGCTGCTGCTGCTGCTCCTGCTGCTGCTAATGGCGGTGGAGATCATGGTGATGATGAGGGTGAGGAGGAGGATGTTGATGATGACGATGTGAAGATGGAGGTTGAGGAGGATTAGCTGAGTTATGGCGGGCTACGGCTACGGCTATGGCTTCTTCTGCTGTTGAGCTTGCTAGGTGGGTATTGGGAAGTCATAAAGTGACAGACAGACAGACAGACATACAGCTGGCATTTATTCAAGATAAGGATAGTCAATCAATGCTAGTTTACTCCAATTCTCTGTACTCGAGGTATCATAATCAAAATGAAAGTAAAAAAAAGAAAATCACAACACACTTAATTCCCGACGCCCGTAATCCTCCATCCCATCCCTCATATAATCATCACTGTCTGTGCGGGCTACTATCGCCGGCCGGATCTTCGTCCCTACGAACCCACGCCGGTCTCGTCCCGTGCGTCCGCGGCCGAGCCAGTTATGCTTCAGCTCCTTGCTCAGGAGCTCGATCTGCTCTTGTGCTCGATCGCCGGTTTGCACGCTGGCCAACACGCTGACGCACTGGAGCATCCGTCCCACCGTCTCGGTGATGATGTGTGACGTGTCTGTGTGCGACGACCGGTGGATGATACTGGGCCGTTGCGTCGGTGACGAGAATGACTGGAAGATCAGCTGGTCCGGGTTGGACGTGTTGGACGCCGCCCGGCTGCGGTTGCAGTCTAGTGAGTCAGACGAGTAGCTGTTCGCGGCGTTGAGGAGCGTCGACGACTGCGAGCTGTAGCTGCCGAACCCGCCGTCCAGCGAGGCCGATGTCGTTGGCCGTGCGCTGTTGCTGCTGCTCTTGGTCGTGACACTCAGCGCTGCCGTGCCGAGCTTGATGCTGTCTAAGCTCAGGCGGGAGAAGGTTGCCTTTAGCACGTCATACCGGTAGAGGATGACCATGTCGCGGAAGGCAATTAGAACGAGATTGCGCACGTCCAGCTCGCAGCCGGGGTACTCGCCATTGAATGTGGATGACCAGAACTCACTGGCTTCTCGGCGGTTCATCACGGATCCGCATCCCTTGAACTCAAGGTCTAGGGGCAGGAAGACAGCTTGGATGAAGGGCAAGATCGTGCCAAACACGAGCATCCAGACTTGTACCAGATGAGGGACCAGCTTCTCATCAGGAATGCCGTTCAGCGTATGGTTCAAAGATGCACACCCTGTCTCTAATAGCTCGCGCAAGTCGTCTACCACGGCGGTGGGCATGCGTTTCTGGACGCACCGCTGAATATGGATGAGAACCAGTTTGTTCAGATCCTCGATGGCGATGCGAACATCCTCTCCGTCAAAAATAACCATAAGCTTGGCCTTGAGAAAGTCCCACGCATCTTCCGGCGTCATGTTATTCAGTCCAAAACCCTGGAGGGTCTCTCGAAGCGCAGCCTCTGCCAGAACCCCCGTGGAGCTGCCCAGCGACGACGGGCCTGCAAACGTCCCCGGCGCAGGTCCCGACGAGTTGGCCACCCAGTCCAGCTGTTCCGACTCTAATGCTTTCTCTTCCTTCTTCTTATCTCGTAACCCGTGGAGCAGGTCCAAGCCGCTCACGCTTTTCCCAAACGTAGTCGTGACCGCACCAGGCGAAGCCGGGGTAAAAGAATACAGCGACTGAGGGGCATTCGGATCCGAAGGTTTCGAGTTACTCGACGCCGACGATAGCGGCAGGTTGTAATGATCATCTCGGTCTTTCAGCTTCAACTTCTGCCGCGACAAGAAGTGATGCTTGTGCTTATCCTTATCCTTCTCTTTCTCCTTCTCACTCCCCACCGGCTTATCGGCCGGAACCACCGTACTTGCCGACGCGTTCGACAAGTTGTAGAGTGACGAATTATTCGAGGGAAACGTATCAGCCAAGCTCGTCGTCGACGCACTCACGATCCGCGATAATCCTCCGCTCGGAAACCCCATCTTACTCGGCGACGGCAGGCCCCGGTCCTTACTGATCCCGTCCTTATCCCGACTTATCCCAATATGCTTCGGTTTCGAGAATAGCTTCATCTTCGATTTCTCGCCCTTGTGCTTGTGCTCCCGCTCTACGGGCGGCTCCAGGCCGGGCGGCTGCAGCGCGGGATTCCGGGGAAACACCACATTTGCCGCCGTCGTTGCGGCATGTGTATTCCCATTCGTCGACCCACTCTGATATGATGCCCCAGATGCACTTCCTGCGCTTGTTGGGGGCGCAAACAACGGCGCTGGGGGCGGCGGGGGCGGAGGGGAAGCGCTCCCACCTCGTCGGGACCGGGAACCGTCTTCTGACACACCCCGCACTGGCGGAGGACGCTTAGGAGGATTCTGAGGAGCGGTCTGCTGTTGCTGGAGCATGGCCGCCTGGGCTGCGATTCTGGAAGCGGAGATGGTAGCCTCGGAGGAGGATGCGGTGGGGAGGGATGGCTCGAAGAAGCCCTGCGAGTGGTGACGAGAGCGTCTCTGCAGTTCCGGCGGGCCACCACGACCCGACGGTTTCCTGCTCAGGATCTCACCATGAGGCATGAAGGAAACGGGGGATCGAATGGTAGAAGAAGAAGAGGAGGTAGTATTTGTGGTGGCGGTCGAAATGGGAGGAGGAGGAGCGGTGGTGTTGGCGGTGATGGATGAGGTACGTGGAGGACGAGGAGAGGAGGTCACCGACACGGCACCGGGATTGAGGGCAGAGTGACGCGGCGAGATGGTGGTCACATTGGAAGTAATCGACGAGGCATCACTGCCTGAGGAAGCAGGGCGGGCGTAGGAGAAGTCGTCGAAGGAGCGGCGAGGGGGCTGTGAAAGTGGATGAGGAGGAGGATGAGGAGGAGGAAGAGGTGAGCGAGACGAGGATCGCTCGGGCGACACCGGCGAGCGCAACATGATGTGAGCGAATAGATGGCTTCGGAGACAATGCTATCGAGACACAGACCCCGAACCCATGATATGAGGGGAGGAGGAGAAAAGTCGTGCTGGCGGCGAAAACCAGTCAGTCTAGATCCCCTGGATTGATTGATTGCTTGTTTGGCTTTCAGCCGCCTTTGGGGAGGATCAGCGACCGAAAAGGCGCCCGGCCGGACGATCTTCGCTCGTGAAACAAATCCAGCGCAAAGCAAGTCTTCCCCTCCCGCCCGCACGTCCTTTCTTTCTCCAACTTTATCCATCCCACTTGATTCCTTCCCCGCGACATCTTCCTTGATTCTTATTCTATTTTCATCCTCCACGCAACCTCTCACAATGTCTGCCAATAAGCTCCACGCTGCTTATGTCGCTCCCGACCAGTCTCGCACTTTCGAGCACAGCATTTCTTCCCCGCTCCCCTCCGCCGACGCCGTCCCTCAGAAGGTGACCTATCTCGCTGAACTACGCAAGCTCGTACCCACGCTACAGAACGACATCAACGTGTTCCTGACCGAGCGCATGGAAGAGGACAAGAAGGCTGCCGAGGCACAGGGTCAAAAGGTCTCGGAAAAGGAAGCCAAGGAGGAGGAAAACTACGGAGAGGAGGTTGTGGAAGAGGATGCTTGATTCGGCCACATCTGGAAGTGAGACGGCTGAGAGAAAGAGTGTGGATGCTACGGCTGACGAAGAACGAATCACGACTAAATAAATCATATGCATGGATCCTTGAATACCGCTATCCCAGGGTATCATCGTGTAGGAAATGTCCGCCACTCCGGTATGCTTTCGTTGAACAAGACATGGCCAGGAAATGCGGAAGATCAAACAAAGCGAGAAAGAAGAAACCACGGAAAGCACAAAAAAGAAACCTCGAAACCGATACCACAGTAAACCACAAACCTCTATATACACACAAATCAGGCTCAACGCATGCGATTGGCACAGCCAAGATGAACAACCGTGTTACTGCCTCCAGTTAGCCAGGCTCAAGTCAAAAGAGAATGGTGATACTCACTCCGGAAACACATTAATCACACTGCCTCCGATCCGCTTGTGGCAGATGCCGCAGACCCGTTCTTCGGTAATGGTGACATGTCGCGAGCGCGTCGATCGCCCGTCCGTCCCCTCTCCTACCAACAATTGCGCCTGCGTCTTGATGTCTTCGGCCTTTTGCAGGTTGGCCACGATCCGGCTCTCGTTAAGGATTGTGTTGGCGGCCCGCATACGGCCCTTGAAATAAAACTCGAGCTCTTTGACCGGGAGCGATTCCGGGATCAGATCCAGAGCAGAATTAGGTGGCAGCCGGGATCCATGTTTGGCCAGCACCTCAAGCGCGGGCCCGTACCGTGGCTTGTAGCCATGCGGCGGCGATAGATATAGAGACAATAGAGTCAAATAAATCGGTGGTTTGTCATCCTCATACGGCAGTAGAGATACACAGCGCGAAGCTGCTCCATCCGCAGCAGTTGTATCTTCCACTTTATGGAGATGATTACAGTATCTGGACGGTCAGCAGATTTCACGTAAAATCGATAAATCCAACTCACTCTTCAGCCTTGACGTAGTCCTCCAACTTGAACACGTAGATTTCCAGTGCCTGCCGGTGTTGTCCCATCTTGCTGAAGACAATCGCTCGTGCCTCGAAGAACTCGGGATCTGTCGCAAGTCAGCAACGCAATGTAAGCGCAAGAAGGGTACTTACCATCCCGGTCCAAACGATCTAGAATCTTAGCCGGAGAATACTGGGAGCTGGACTTGAGCATATTCAAGAACTTGCTCTGCCAATTAACATAGTCATCCAGACTCGAAAACTCCCATTCTTTCGCTTGATGCTTTTTCAGTCGTTCCAAGTAAAGGACGAGCAGTTTCTGATGCAAATCTGGTGTCATATCATTCAGTTCCCCAATGATATGCTCCAGGTATCGGACAGCCAGATTGACATCAATGCCTTGCAGGAAGTCTAGCACGCGGTCTCTCGGTAGCGTCTCCGCGTTCTCCGTATCTGCCAGGAAAATCTCCATGCCCAGCTCAGGGTCCTGTCGTACCGGCCACTCAGCGAACTCGAGGATCAAATCAATATGGTCTGGAGACAGATTTTGCAGATAATTGACTGTTCGCTTCGGTCCGTGCAGCTGCGGCGCTGTCTCTTCTTCCTCGTCGGCTTGTCCAAACTTCTGGAGTAGCTCCAACGCCTGCCGATGCAGCTTCTTTCCGTAAAGAAAGTCAATCAAATCGTTGTGACGTCCTGTCTCCTCCAGCTTCTCCATGACTACATCTGGGTCGCAGAAATTGGCAATGCGGAATAATGACCCTGCCAGTGCTGGAATAGCGTACATGTACGCCCGGAAAAGAGTCGTGTCCACGAGTCTTGCCTTTTCCCGCAGCTTTTCCCCAAGATCATACTCGCCCTCCGGATCAATGCTCAGCAGCTTCATGACGGAGTCCGTCAACGCATCGTTCGCGCTGTCCGTCGTCGCATCGACCACCTTCAGCGTCCCATCCGGGTTCAGGAAGCGCTGGAACCGCCTCCGCACGTCCGCCAGATACCTCTGCAGGTCACGAACAGCCAGCTTGAGATCGGCCCCTTCCAGCGCCTTGTCACTCTTGGCCTCCTCGACGACCTTGCCCCGGATACTGCCCGCATCGCTGGCATCATCTGTCCGCGTCCGCAGAAGCGACATCACCGACGGAGCATGCGAGAGTGTCTTCGGCGCTGGCGCTTCCTCCGCAGCCGGCGCATCCGTTGGGCTATTGTTCTCTTGCGTCTTAGACAAGCTATCTGTCGTCCCATCTTCGGACTCCTCCGGCTCCTCGACAATCGACGACAGCTCCCCCGCGATAATCTTCGGATACAGTCGTATAACCGTCTCCGGGGGCGCAGATATCTCCGTGAATAGATCCATCGAATCAGTATACTTTCGCATCTTGAACAGCCCCTCAGCCTTCTCCAGCTTGATCTGGCGCAGCCGGCCCTGCTTATCCCTTAGCAGCGCATCCTCCAGCATACTAGCCAGACTGATCGCCTCGTCCAGATACCCCTTCTCGACCAGCGAGTCAATCTGCGTATCATAACTCAGCGCCTCCATCCGCCATATTGTCCGATCACTCGCCACCAAGAAGCCCTTCCCAGCATGCGCCAGACTAATTGTCGGCTGCGGGATATGCATAATACTGGCAGACGGTAACGGCACCGACTGCAACAGTGACAACGTCTCCGGATTCCGCACCTCCAACACTCCCTTCGAGGCATCATGCAGCGCCAGCAGAAATGGATACGAATACCCTATATCTGCCGGCGCATGACTCCACGGAATCTGCCTCCTCCCCAGCGAATTCCCCTGCACATCAATAAAGTGCGTATTGATATCCTTGGCCAGTAACACCTGACCCTCCTTCAACCTCGTCGCCAACGGCTTCGGCGCACTGCCCCCAAGCCCCATATAACTCATACTGGCGACTCCCACCCCGGCCAGTCTCCCCGTACTCTCCTGACCCCCTAACCCCCCTATCCCAGACGGACCAGTCAAATCCGTCACCGTCCCACCATCCCCCTCAATATCAACCATCACAAACCCAGATCCCAACCCAGCCACCAACCTCGTTCCAGACACCCACGTCAGCGTCTTAATCCCGCTCACCAGCGTCATCTCCATAGGCCCGCCGGCTTCCATCTCCATATCCCTCCACACCCACACCATTATCTTCCTCTTCACCGCCACCGCCACCCTCGACACAATAGCAGGCACGCCCGTTTCGGAATCATTCTCGATATTCGACGTCACCGCAAACGTCGTCGCCCCCTTCGTCTTCCCCAATTGCTCCTGCAACGAATACGTCCCCAGATCATGCAACGACACATATCCCCCGGACAGAGAAACAAGCACCTTGGCCTCCTTAATCAACGCCAACTGCTCGATCTTGTACCTCGAGAACTTTTCCACTTCGCGGAGTAGCTCCGTGGGCTTCTTGCTATGCTGTTGTTGTTGTTCCCGGTTCCCGTTCGTAGTCCCGTTCGCGATTATCCCCGTCTCTGCATTGCCGTTGCCGTTGCCGTTTCCATGTGGTTGTTGTTGTTGTTGCTCGGTAGTATCTTTCTTCCCCTTCCCCTTCCCATCACCATCCTGCTGCTGCCGCACCTCCCCTTCTCCCCCTCCTCCTCCATCTTCTTCCTCCTCCTCCTCATTCACCCGATATATCCTCAAACTCCCATTATTCAGCCCCGCCAGGACGCGATCCCCATACGCCAACACGGACTCGATCCGTGATCGGTCGCGCGGTTTGAGTTCCACGAGCGGACGGGCCGTGAATGCGGATAACATCGTCGTCGAGAATATTTAACCCCCTGTCGTCTGTCTTTGCTCTCTTCTGCGTATGTACGTATGAATGAATGTGTTGTGTATATATTCAAGAAGTATCGGTAGGCGTATAGTGTAGGGCGGTGTGGTGGCTGGCTAGCTAGCTAGCTAGCTCGGTACGTTGTGGAGGATGGATTGCTCGGGAGGGAGGTAGATAGGTAGGTAATGCGCCGTTCGCGATCGCGGGTTAGGTTCATGTCATGTCGTGGGTGTGAGAATGTGCAATTAGACTCTCGGTGGAAAAGGGTGGAGTTAGAAGGTGGAGGTGGGTGTCATGGTTTGGGTGTTTGTTGTATGTAGGTGTGTAGGTGAGTGATGTGGTGCGGTGGTTGGGCGGAGGTTGATTGATAGCGGCGGAGCTCCTACGGAGGAGTGAGTGTCCAGCTGGACCGGACAGCTGCCCTGCCTGTCTCCCCGGGCCGTGTGCCAAGATGGGTTTCCCCGGCTAGCTGTACTACTACTACGTATCTTCGTACCTATATTCTAGATTATCTTATGACAGCATCCCTTGCGTGCCATTCGAATTTTAAAGAAGTTTGTAGCATTGATTATATCAACGTTGTCTTGAGTATCTAGTCTATTATGCTAAGCTAACCGATGGATGGATGTCCTGCACACACCGCTACTATCCCATCCATGGGTGTGCCATCCGCTGGCTTAAAGCTCCGATCCCATGCAATGAATCAATTCCATAACTGCCAACCGACCGATCAAAACCCATAACACAGCCCGACGGACCGCGACCGACAAGGAATCCGGACTTTTGCAAATATCAAGACCAAAGAATGGAGTGAACGCACGGCGCATGTACAATGTGAAGGTAAGCCAGATCCCGATCGGGAATGAGAGAAGGCAAAACCGATAGGTAGGATAACTATACGACCGAAAGGTCTAATGTGTTTCAAGCTTCAAATATAATAATAGTCGTCGGAATGCCTCTCAGATCATGCCTTGATCTCCGTGGGATATTCCTGGTGTTTGGCCGACGTGCCCTTCGCCCGCCATGTCGAAACAGCGGGGATGTCCGCCTTGAAGCGCTGCTCGTCGGTGCCATATGCGCGCGGCGTGAGCTTGATGAGCGTATGGAGCGGCACCTCCATCCAGGGACTTTGCTCCTGCGGCGTGTTGAGGAAGTAGGCATAGATGCAGCGGAGAACGGCCTGGTGCGTGACAATGATGACGTTCTCGCTACGCTCCAGCTCCATGATAATTGGCTCTAGCCGGATGACTACATCGCGGTATGACTCGCCACCCCGGTAGCGGTAGTTGTACTTGTCTTCGTCGCGCGCAGCAAAGTCTTCCGGGTACTTTTCCGCAATCTGCTCGTACGTGAGTCCGTCGCAGACTCCGGAGTCGAGTTCATCCAGCGCCTTCCACTCTAGCTTCTCGAAGCCCGTCTCCGCGGCGAGATGACGAGCCGTTTGAATCGTACGTTTCAGAGTTGACGTCCAAATAACGATCTTGGTGTTGGGTGGAACCCCAGACTTCTTTAATAACCCGGGCAGCGCTCGGGCGTATGCCTCTCCTCGCTCTGAAATGTTGGAGTCGCCGCCAATTTTCCCCGTTAGATTATATTCTGACTCGCCGTGCTACATACGTTAGATCAATGGTATTTATTAAGAGGAGGAAAACTTACTCGAGATAACCAGATCGAGCGAGGTTTGATGTGAAGGTTCTGGATGTAGTAGACCAGCCGACTGGAAAGGTAATCCTTAATCTGATTTATGATGACGGTAGACCCGACATTGATGAGTTTGACGTAGGTGAAGTGCTTCTCGTTATCATCAATGGTCTCATAGACCTTCTCGTAGTTGCGAATGCGGTTACGGAAATCGAGAGCAGCAACTTCCGGGTCCTGCCCCTTGTAGTCCGGCGACGTTGTCTTGACTTCCAAGATGTTGTTCATGATCAAGTCTTCATCATCACATATTGACTCGACGTATAATGTTTCAACGTTTGCCTCCTGGCAGCGTTCATGGATCCAGCGCCGTCGCTCTTTCGTGGAATTGGTCGCATCCAAAATAGCTACGACGCCTTTCCCGGACTGAAACCACTGGAGCATATCAGACACCGCAGCTTCGGCGGCGGCGCGTCTCATTTTTTCGCCTTCGGTATTATGAGGGTCGAAGAAGTTCGCATTGGGCTGTGGCGTGCCTGCACGACGGTAGCTGCCGACGTTGAATACCCGAGCGGGGATGCCAACCCAGGCAAGATATCGCATCGCTGTATCAATTAGTGCCTGACGTTCAACAACCCAAATCACCAGAGCGTACCTTTTCCAGCAATGAGACTCTTGCCTCTGGCTGGGAGGCCAACCATGACCACACAGATCTTCGAGTCATCGGACTAAGAGATGTAAGTCTCTGGCGTGCTGCCATTGCGAAACGACGTAGACGCCCAAATTGAGAGAGTAAGAATATGCAACGAGATAGACATGATACAGAATAAACAAGCAGCGTTGCAGTGTAATATGTCCAGGGTCATCGCCGACCCGGGCAATTGCCCCTCCCAAAAGGAGGGGTATACAGCCTCACCGGACGCATATCAGGGCAGTACATAACGTCACCGGCAACACTGGGTTCACCGCGCCACTCAAATCAACAGACAACGACAAATGAATCGTTTCACTTACACTGGCGAAATAATTATGGCCATTGCCCCTCCGAATGGAACCGGACGACATGATGAATGAGCGGAAGGAATGAGCAGGGTATCGACTCCTGACTGGGATCGATTTGAATGGGATGAGGCGAAGTCAAGACCTCGGCCACCAGGGGTGCCCGACCGGACGCAAGCCGGAAGAAAGGATATAGGGACGGATAAGGTCAGTAGCGGGTAAAAAGGCACAGGGCGTGAGAATAGCGAAAGTGTGATAGAATCTGCAAGTAATGGGACGTGTCGGAGAGAGAAAATATTCTAGAAAGTTGAGTTTGGACAGATCCGGCCTGTCTTTGGTATGGGGGGAGTAGCAATAGCAAGTAGTACAAAGTAGTGGAAGTAAGTTAATCGATCAACAGCAGCTCTGGTTGGATGCCATTAAACCCAACAATTCGATGCGGTGAAGAAAGAAGAAGCACAGACGTCATGCCGCGGGGCAGTCGCAACAAGGCCGAGAGTTCCAGGCAGGAAGTATCCAGTCTTTTAAAAGTGTTTTCATTCACTCCCTGAAGGGAAATCGAAGCAGCTCAGAACACCTCTGGAAAACTTCGGTCGCAGAATATCCGGGGAGATGGAAATTTCCCCAGTCTTGCCTGATCGTCTAGGCCCCCGACAATTTCCCTCCGAATTGAAACTAGTAGTAGTAATATTGCCTCCCTTCTGTCCACACGTGATCTCCTGCGTTTTCGTCGGGTAAAATCGCGACCGAATCTGGATGGAAGAGGGGCGCGTCGGGATGGATGAAGGGAGTCTGGATGTGGACGTAAAAATCTTGGTGCAAAGTTCCTGAGAGGCTCCCCCTGGTGACACTTCTTATAGTCGAGGATCGCATGATATGATACTGACTTGGTACTATCATCTTGAATGATTTGATGTCGAATGGAGCCACGCCGATTGGGTCCCTTGCATGTCTCCCTGGTGGGACTTTGGACGACTATCAGCCGAACTCCTCATTACCCCGTACTCCTGGGGTCGATTTACATGAGCGATTTTTCGCCGTAGTCTGGACCCAATGAGCCCAATATTGGGTGATGCTCCGGTCGATTCCGTCTAGTTTGCGGGAATTGAAGTTTTCTCGAGTGCGCGTGACCGGTACAAACTACTACTCCCTACTATCTATTGACTGCGAGGTATACCCGAAAATGGAAAACGTACAAGAAATGATGGATATTCATGAGTGATTATATGCATTTGTGGATATTATAGATAGGTAAATTCCAGGCGTCCTGCTATGCAATGCTTTTGCCGGCCATCGGGCCGATATTTTTAACCGCGTCCCCCTTTTTTTAGTCTCCGTCTCCGTCTCATATCCGTACGGTAGATGCGTAGCCCTACGGATACGAACGTCGAGGTCATCGATAGATGCTTCAGCGCGGGTTCTTCAGAAACCCTGCTAAGCATTGCCCCTTTCCGCAGACCCATGGCGTGCCATTGGCTCCCGGTCCGCGGCTTATCAACGGAGGCGGAGGCGGATGAGCGTAGTTCGTAACTTCTTTTTTTGGGGGGAAAGCCCCTTATTCATATCGTAACAACGTCAGGCATCTATTTTTAGTGTTGGGGTGAAGTCTGGTTTCCATGATGGATGATTGCTCCGATGTGTCGCGCTAGTGAGACTATGCGGCGGCCGCAACCTCCTCAGCAACCGGGGTGGCTTCGTCTCGGCTGGACGACCACTTGGGTCTCCGCTCTTGCGAGTTGTTCTCTCCACGGGCTCTCTGGACCCGGAGGACGGCACCCCAGGGACCCTCCGCGCGGTTCAGTGCGTTCATGGCATTCTCAGCCTCCTCGACGCTGCTGAAGTCGACGAACAGGTAGTAGTGGTCACCGGGCTCGAATCTCTTCGCGGGGTGAGGAGCGAACAGCTTGCTGACATTCTCACTGTGCAGCCAATTAGCATCCCGGACAATCAATACACGCAGGGACCCAATCCATACACTTTGTAATCCTTGAAGAAGTTGGTCATGTTGCTGGTGATCGCCTCCTGGTCCGTCAACCTTGGGAGGCCGCCAACATAGAGGCGACGGCTGGGATCGCTATTGGAGGGGGTACTGGCGGCGGTGGTGGTAGTGGTCTTCGACGGAGTGCGCGGGGGCTGGGCCTCGTCGCCGCGGCGCCACCGGTCCATGCTGAACGGAGAAGAACGAGCCTCACGAGGAGAGGCATCCGAGCGCGGCTGTTGCTGTTGCTGCTGCTGAGCCCGCTCACTCTGGGTCTTCACGACACCAGGCTTGATCTTGACGGGACGACCAAGCATGTCCCGACCGTCCAACTCCGTCATGGCGCGCTCAGCCAGCTCCTTGGTCTCCAGATCGACGAAACAGTATGAGGGGTTGCGGCCGGTGAAAGGATCGATGGCGATGTCGATACGCTCGCTATTAAGCACTCAGTTTGAAACTCCCACGGGTGTCTTCTGTTCAAAGAATCCATACATTCGGAACTCAGCCGCATCGAAGAGAGCCTGCACATTCTCCGACTTGGCCGTGTAGGGCATGTTGCCCACGTAGAGACGGCGGCCCTCCGAGATAGCCTGGGGCACATGCGGGCTGGGTCTGCTGAATGCAATTCTCGAGGTGCTGGTCTTGGGACCGGGGGACCCGGCAGCGGCGCTCTGACCACTAGGGCTCTCATCGCGCTTCACACGCCAGTTGGGGGAGTGGAAGGCCCGGCCTGTGGTTCTGACCCCATTCTGGAAGACATTCTTTTGGGGAGCTAGGCACGCATTAGCGATTTAGGATATGGCCGTGAAAAATTGGATTCAGCCCGAAGTGAGCAGCCCAATGCGATCGCCTACACACTTTGTTCCTGGGGCCTCGGGCTCTCGGGAGCGTCGACCATTGTGACGGTAGAATGTGAAGTGAGGTGTGAGGGTATAGTCTATGGATTCAAGGTTCGTTAGTATGGATTGACACAGAATTTACTTATTTCCTAATCCGACAGACGATCATGGCAGTCAAAAGAGGGGACTCATACCGTGAACAGGACAAAAGAAGAGTCACAGAAAGCCAACGATTGCCTTCCAGAAAATGTCCAAGACAAGAGAAAATCCCCCGGACAACAAAAAAAAAGCGAATGCCAACACAAAAAAATCGTCGACGCTGTAGCCTGCGTCAGAAAATTGCCCTCTACATTTTTTTGATGTGAAATGGAACCAAACAGCGCAAATGCCGCAAACAGAACAAACAGCTGGGGATGGATTAATCTCTGCGCTGCCGATGATTGGCCTGTTAGCGAACCGGGGGAGATTTTCTTCATATAAAGCCGCCCTTTGTTTTTTCTCATTCCATCTTCACTCACTTCCACATCTATTTCGACAGTAGATTCTGAATCAATTCAGATGTCTACCTAATATGGTGACTGTCCAATTGACAGCAGCTACAAAGCTACGGGATTAATGCATTCCGTTATATGCTTTGCAGATCTGCAGAAATGTCACCAATACTTTTTCCTTCTCTTTGTTTATTGCTTTTTTGTTTACAGCGTTCCACACATACAAGTCATCCTTCAATGATGAAGCAAGATATCACACAGACCTGTTCCGAGTTTACAAAACATGCGGATCAACAATCGTTCCAACTGCTGTCTGACGATGTGATGACTTGTACTCCCTTGCCCCTATACAAGATAGATTTATCAAAGAATGAAATCTTTTTTACTTGTGAAATGATTCCACAATGTAGTAACCGTCGTAGTAAAGACATGTCTACATACAATTATAGAATTATAGAATTCATCCTAAGGGTCTCGCGATTTGCATAGCATACATACCCTACCTGCCAGAGACATGGATAATCTCACGGATTCTCCACGGCGATAGTATACTCCGTTATCTGCCCTAACAATGATGCTATAAGTTAAGGACAATTGGTACTGTCATTGCCTAGGGTATCAATTAAGGTGCATACATAGCCCTATTTTTACCCAGATTATAGAACGGGTTGTTTTTGAATGTAAGTAGCCTACGGTAGCCCTTGTACTCCAATACTCAGCATGATCGTACCCCAACTGGTTTACCCAGAAGACAGCTTCAAGTATAAACAGTAAACTCATGGTATATATTCTTGACTCAAAATGAAGAAACACCACCTCGACTCACGGTCACTCGTATACATCATACTTATATTTACACTTCACCCCATCATGATCCCATTTTGATCCCAGTTTATCGAGAAAGACTACGTACTATCTTACTCACCCCCTCAACCCCCAAACCGCACCCCCAATAACCCCAAACACCAATACATGCAAGAGAACTCCCAACCCAGACATAAGCATCAACACCCACCCCTGCAACTGATTCTTAATCACAACCTCCGAATACCTCTGATCACTAAAGCTCACTCTCGAATACAGGGTCTTCCACCCCAAAACGGGCACATACCGCTGCAACGCCTCCTCAACATACCTCCTGGCCTTGTAAACCGGAGAATTAACCCCACCCCGCAACTCCAGATAATTTCTCCTGGAGAGATCATGTATAGCATGAGCATCACGAACACGCTGGTTCGAGTACTCCGTCAACGCCGCAGCGCGGGCATGATCCTTATTATTGTTCGACAACTTGCCGTGACTGAACACGCGGTGCTCATCGAGTAAATCGAAGAGGATCCGAACGTCCTCCATCCCAGCGTTCAGTCCCTGGCCGTAGAACGGGAACATGGCGTGCGCGGCGTCGCCGATGATCACGGCTGCGGTGCCGTAATGGTGCGGGCTGCATTTTATGCCGATGAGGGGGAGGTGCGGGCTTTGGTAGAATTGTTGGGAGAGGGAGGATTGGGAGATCAGGTCTGGGCAGACGCCCGGGAAGTGGGTGTCGAAGAAGTCGAAGAGGGTGGTGGGAGGGGAGGATTTGAGAGAGTCGAGGCAGGATGCTGGCGCGAAGAGAATGCAGTTGAAGGATTGGTCCGGGCAGGGGAAGGCGCAGAACATGTATTGCCCTCCGGGCCAGATGTGGAGGTAGTTGGGGGGGAGGCGGAAGGTGTTGGTCTTTTCGCTGGGTAGGATGCGTAGTTCGCACCACACTGTGTCGGCGTATTGTTGTTGGTAGTCGAGCGGGGTGTGGCGCATTATTTGTTGTCTGGTGGTGGAGTGGGCGCCGTCGGCGCCGATGAGGAAGTCGAAGGGGACTTCTTTGGGTGGGGGTGGTGTAGTAGTGGATGGTGAGGGTTCTTCTCGTTGCTCGAACCAGACCTTGCGGGTTTTCATGTCTGCTCGGATGAGCTTGTGGTGGAAGAACATCTTCACGTTGGGAGTGGCGTCGAGCTCTTGACGGAGGGCGATGTTGAGGGCTTTGCGGTCTAGAGAGTATAGGGAGTTTCCATGTACATCGTATTGGTGGAATGTCTGTTGGAGTTTGCCTGAGACGCTTCTTCCGTGGACCATTCTGCCGTGCATGGGGATGGCAGTCCGCATGATGGCGCGGAGAAGGTCAGTTCGACCGGACTTTTCCAGGGCTCTGATGCCCCGTTCAGAGAGAGTGAAGTTGATGGATTTCTGAAGCAGGGGAGAGGCGCCTGATGGGTTCAGACGCTCATCTAGAGGAGGACTTGTTAGCTGGATGCATGGGTATAGGGGATGTTTGTGAAGAACATACCTCCACGCAGTTCGTATACTTCTACATTGTCATGGTAATGGCTGGCATAGAGGGCCGCCAGGGAGCCCACTGGCTCACCACCAACGATGACAATCTTTCCGTCTGCAGCCATTGTAGTCATATTCATTGTTCTTGGAGACTCTGATGATGTCTTCAGGTATACTCAACGAGGAGACGAGGAGCCAGCTTATATAGCTGAGGCATGCCCAAGAATTACGCGATATAGACCATCAGAAGATTCGCGCAAAGTCTATACTGGCAATAGCTGTAGCACTTGTCTCATTCTCGACACTTTACCGTCATCAGGCAGGCAGGGCCACGAGATCATCGTGGAGAGCAACCATGTGGGCCACTTCTCAGCCGTACTTACATCTTGCTCCGAGTATTGCACGAGCCATACATACTAGGTAAAGAGTAGCACGTTGGAGCGGCACGTTCGTCGGTTGTATGCAGCTGTGACGACGATACTGCATTGACGTAGGTGAGGGGTTGAAGTCAATTCCTCCCATCCAGGCATCAGACAAGGACATGAGAGAGAAGGATATAATGGATACTGTAACAATACCAACTCTTGGATGCAAGTCATGTGGAGACATACATAGTACTAGTTCTCCGTAGTCCTAGTACTAGTGTATACTAGGACTAGTATACAGTTGCTCAAACCCCGAAGGACCGCAATATCCAACGACACCACATCTTTGGCTGAAATTAATCTAACCTCGGGCAACAATGCGACGCAATTGCATACTGATCGTATTATCATGCAGAGGTGATGTGCTCAGCTGAAATGCACGTTGTCGTTGGCGCGGCAGATCGAGCGCAAACGGAAACCCCATGATTGGGCACCTTACAATGTAACCCCTCCTCCTTGCATACCAAGTTTGAACACCATTCAGCTCCATTCAGCTCCAAAGAGCCTTACAAACTTAATATTAGAAATCACTAGTTAGGGTCAGAAGTCCAATTCCGCCCAGTGCGACTTAACCCCAAATCCTATTTACCTGCATGTCCCAACCTGAACGAGCCCAGCGTTTATGACCTATCCACCAACACCACCGAATTCAGTAAGTGTACATACTTTAATCCATATAAACATACCTACGTCCTCTAACTTACTGCACGCCATGCAGCAAAACTCCTTCAGCCAACTCACCCAAATACCTGCAACTGGCTATAGCTTAATCTCCGCAATCAATAAAACCCTGCACCTTGCGCCATATGAAACCATGTCAAGAAGCAGAACCAACACCATCAACAAATTCACCTTCACCCGCCCCGGCGACGTCGTTTACGAATTCCCCAAATACACCTCCGCCTCCTGCAAAGTCCGCATCACTCTACCCCCAGGCAGCACCTGGACCTCAGGCCCACACTGGCACGAAAAGCGCGTCGAATACTTCCGCGTCGTGCAAGGCGCCGCCTGGTTCACCCTAAACGGGGAATACAAAGTCTATCGGCCGTCGGACGGCAACGTGCCGATCCCATTATTCACGGTCCATGAATGGGGTCGGGCTCCCGAGCAAGAAGAGGCGGATTTGATTGTGGATGAGTGGACGGCACCGGCGGATTCGTTCAAGATTGCGTTTTTTCGTAACTTGAATAGTGTCATTCTGGATGAGACGAGTGATGGGAAGACACCGCCGAGAAGTGAGTGGTGGTTGACGCTGCAGCTGTGGGTGATTTGCCATGGCTTGGATAATTGGCCCGTGTTTTGTAGAGGGTTGTTTGGCGTGCAGTGGGTCGTTACGCATGTGTTTTTGGGTTTGGTTGCGTTGGTGGGTTCGGCGGTCTGGGGGTTGAGGGCTGCTTATGATGAGTATACGGCACAGGGGATTAAGGATGTTATTCGAGCTGCTAAGGAGGGGAAGAGGGTGAAGAGAAGAGGTGTTGATTGATTGAGTGCATGTTGTTTTGTGTATGATGTTTGCCACGTCAGGGTTGAACGTTAGGCCGCCTGCATGAATGTGATACTATCGTTGCCAAGTATGCAGTTGCAGTAACTACACAGTTTGCATTAGTAGAGGGTCCAACGCAGTTTCAACCTGGAGTAGAAGTAAACTCTCACTTGCCTTCAACAGGCATACACCTCGTGATGCTACCGTGATCGGCGAATAGCCACCATAGCGCTGGTCTGAACTATCATTTGCTTAAAATCAACTAACTAGCTCGGGGTGTTGTCGGTTCTAGCCCTTCGGATATCCCACAAAGTATCGACGCCCGACTCAGCTACTGCAGCGGTAACTGACACTACGCAGTTGTTCTTCTTGGCAGACACTTGCCGCTACTAGATAGTCTACGTGAAGCACCGTCTCGTATTCCCAAGGATATACCACGAATCCCTGCTCCTAATCACTAGCTAGTGTACAGTGTCTACGCTAGAATCGATTAGAATGGACTGGTCAGAGAGACAAGTCCAGTCCAGCCCAGCCCAGCTTAGCACTTCACCTGTATTTACCATTCTAACTAGTAGTATTATTATATTGAGTAGATGATGAAGTCTCGAAAGTAGAATACTTCATATTATGTACACGTACTACATCAATCATCAAATCATACAAACCAGGAAACAATTTCCGATCCAAATCCCGATCATTCCTCCATAGACGGGCTAACTGTAAATGATGTACTCCCCACCAGCAGCTGAAACCACACTCACCTCCTAGCTACTACCTACTACCTACTACCAAACACACCGCGAGGACCTAAGTAGAGAAGTAGAAGTTCTATTTGACATACTATCCTCTCGAGCCAACCAATAACTTTCAATCAAAATAGTACTTTCTACTCAATTTACAAGAACTCGGTACTACTTACCATGCCCTAAACATGCCCGCAAATGGAGAAAAGAAAATTTTACTACATACCTTGTATAGCCCTACCCAGGTCTTGAATATCATCCATCAAACCATGCCCGCACCTACTAACCTACTCTCTCCGAGTCTAACAGTTAGTATCTCGACCCCATCTCAGCTGAGGTGGAGTGTGGGGTCACGGTTGCTAGTTAGCTCCGCGTTAGTAGAGTACGTGTACCCGGACGACTACTAGTTCGTTCGCCACTTGCCACACAGAAGGGGCTTTCCGTGGGGGAAATTACCTTCGTATATGTCGATACGGGGGAAATGAGCTGGGAAATAGATGAGGGGGTTTGGTGAGGGGCGATGAGAATCCATTATTGCTTTTTGTTACCATTGGGCGGGTGCGGGGTTGTCGACAGATAGGATTATCTTAGATACTTGAGAATGAGCAATGATTGAAGTTCTGAGTGGGGTCATGACTGAATCAGCGAAATGTTTTGACGATCTAGTTAATTAGGATTATTTGACAAAGCAACTGCTCGGCAACTCTGCTACAAGCTAAGCAACATTATCATATCAGATCCTCCATTTTGTAACCTTCATACATATGACCATCGATCACGACAGGATCTCTCTGAAGGATCAGCGAGATCGTCAGGCGGTGTTGTATCCAGCCTCGGTCATGGGAACCTCGTCGTCTCGCTCATACAGGATCTCCGGGCGGATCTTCTGGCGTAGAATGTACCTTCGGAAAAAGTAAGGAATCTGGCGAAGTCCGTATGCGGCATGGAATCGCGTCGGAACTGAAAACACTTGGTCCAATTCCTCCAGCGTCTTGCCCTTAGTTTCAGGCATGAACATCAGGATTAGCCACCATCCGACGATGCACCACCCCGCGTACCAGCTGAAAGCCCCCTGCGGGGTAAATGCCGCACGCAGGGAGGGCCAGGTAATGGCTAGCAGACAGTTGAACAGCCATGTTGTCGCCGTGGCCAAGGCCATGCCGTGGGAACGGACGTAAAGTGGGTAAGCTTCGGCGGAATATGTGAATGGGACTGGACCCTCCCCGACAGAATACACTATCGCGAATAGATACGTGCCTAGCGCAATGCATCCAAGCCGGGTGGAGGAGTGTGTATCTTCCGGTATCCAGAAGCTGAAGCCGGTGAAGAACATAGACAGTGCCATTAGTGGAAATGTGGTGAGAAGAAGGTTGCGACGTCCAAAGGTATCAATTGTGTATACAGCCGGTATAGCGAAAAGCCAGTTGATCATACCCCATCCGAAAGAGGCTGCCAGTGCTTTTCGCTGGTTTGATACGGACAACTGCGTCAGTGAATTTCCCGTAGTCCCGAGGAAGATCTCAGATGAATAGTAGGCAATAACATTGACACCTGCAGCAGAATTAGTATTTACATACTGGGGATACTCGGTATCATACCGCAGAACTAATGCAATCAGTTAGCAGCGGCTCAGTTGGAAATTGCAGGTGTAGTTGACATACCTGTTGCATGAACATGACGAGCTCCGACGCAATCAACGCGCGCCGGTTTCGGGGAACGGCGATAAGTTCGATGAGTTTGTTCTGCCCCAGCTTCATGCCTGTCTCTGCCTGCAGCAATGTGTGCATGTAGTACAAATCACGCGCAGCCTGGACCTTGTTGAAACGTAAACTGCACATGGACTCATAGGCCTTGTCATAGCGGTTGTGCGACATGTACCAACGAGGCGACTCGGGGCACGTGAAAACAAAGCAGCAGACGAGAAGGGCTGGAACTAAGGCCGAGGCCATCATTAAGCGCCAGTTGAGACCGACGATCCCTGCAGGGTCCTGTATCTCGAAGAAGGCCAGGTCGGCAACGTAGCCAAACATGATGCCAAACGCGGTCCACATCTGCCATTGCATGACCAAGGCACCACGAATGACCGGAGGGGCTGTTTCTGCGGCGTAGATCGGGACGGTGGCTGACTTGGGACCGATGCCAAAGCCCAGAGCAAAGCGCGCAATGAACATATGCCACCAGGTGTTGACGAATCCCTGCCAGAGACAGGTGATGGCCGAAAAACAGCAGGTAATGAAGATGGTGCCTCGTCGGCCGAACCAAGCGTTGAATGGGACGGTTAACCAGCAGCCGATCAGAGCGCAACACATGTAGGGTGCGCAGTTTACGAGGCCAAGCAGCCAGTTTGACCTCGATTCGCTGCCGCGATCGATACCGAACTGATGCTTATAGAAAATCTGGGCGCCATTGACGACAGTTTCATCTGCAGGTGCATGATTGCCTTAGCCTGTGTCGTGCCACATCAGGCGTGTTGAAGAAAAGGCTTGGACTTACCCATTCCCTGAACAGCAGCCGACAGGGAACACAAGCAAATGACCAGGTACATTGTCCACGGCTGGGACCAGCGATGAGCGTATTCATTCTCTAGAACTGCCAACTCCTGGGGCGTCAGGCCGGGCACCTCTGCATATCTTTCAGGAACCTGCGCCAACATGGCACCCATTGCAAAGGCACGCACATCCTCTTCGTCACCCATCTGGTGAGTGATGGCGAAGTTGATGCCCTGCTGGCGTAGTTCCTCCTGGGTGTATCCGGCCAGGGGATTGGCAAGCTTCGCGTTCATGTTTCGCCGTGCTCGCTCTGCAGCTGTTCCAAAGGAACGCTGGAGACGAATGTTTTCTCGATGGTCAGATGCATATTCATCATTCGAGGGCTTATTCTCGAAGATAGGGTCCCCGATGACCGGACATTCCTCTTTTCCAAACATTTCCAGATATTGGGATCTGGTCGCGATGATGGCAGCTGATACTGTGGGGGGTGTAGAAACGAGAGACTGCGTGAAGTTTAGCAAGAATTAGCAGGTTGTCGATAACGCGAAGAGTTATTTGAATCGGGAGAAATGGAGAAACAAATTAGTGACCGAGACCGGAGACATCAACATGAATGGCCCATTGCACAAGGATGGATCGCAAACCTGGCTGGACCGTTGGCGCCACTCCGAGGTGCATCAACAAAGGATGCAAGCAACAACAAAGAAGTGTAGTGTGAGAAGAGCGGATGTGAACAGACGAGCCAAGCAGATCTACCAGCGATAAGTTGGATGATACAAAGAACTGTTCAACGCGTAGGGTGTGATGCAGGGATACGGAAGAAAATGCGTGCAGAAGAGTGGAGACTTTGGATGCATCACCACTTGCACAACTGGAACATTTGTCGACTCACCGTTTCAGCCAACATCCCGGGGCGATGACATTGACAAGCCACTGAATCAGATTGATTGCTGAGGCCGGACGCGTTGCTGGTTTATCCTTTGGTGAGAGGATATGGGAAAGAAAAGAGAGTAAGGCTGGAGTCTGACTAACGAGCGACAGGGAGAGACACGATTCATTCACCGTGGACACATGCAAGACAAAGGAGGGAATGAGACTCATCCACTCTCTCAGGTTGGCTAGTCCTTGAGGCTTAGAGACTGCCTTTGGTCGCGATCACAAACGTGGTTCCCTGTCATCAGGAATGGCATTCTGGGCAATCAGTGGGCAACAGTGAGGTTGTACAAGCCTCGTTTGCTGCAATGAGGCCACCCTCCATCTTGGATTGCGGTTTTGACATCCGCATGGCCATGCAACCCTAGATGCCAAAGATAGTTTTCCTCTTCCATCTGGACTGCATCCGTCAACACCGGGGCGATTTACAATTTCCGATCTAAACATTGTGGACGTTCTGGGGAAGTAAGATGGAAAAGATTACCGAGACTCAATTCGCATCTTCAAATCCCCGGATCGCCGTCGCTTAGACATTGACTGGCGTGCGGGGTCGCTCTTACTCCACCGTCGGATCGCGCCAGGCCCGTCGGATGGAGCCAGACCACTGATGCTACTATCCTCATTCCAGGATAGATAGAACAGTGTTGGATCATCCGATGGTTCTGATGCCGCTTTTCCGTTCGGATCTCTTCCAGCTGCTTCTGTTGAGTGCCAGGAAACTTGGACGTCAGTCTTACCCCGCATTCCGCAATGGCGCCAGGTTTCCTAAACCGACTACATCTGGACTATTATCCTAGCTATACCGACAGTTTACTAGTCAAAGGACATACTGTAAAAGGCAAGGGGACACGGGTTCTATAGGCTGGTGATAATGCACGTCTGCAAGTCTCTACAGTGACGACATCCACTCTAGCCGACTGTAGGCCGCTCCACTGTCAATCCATAGCTCATCATCCGTATAGTCGGATGCAGACACTCCTACTTCATATCGGAACAGCAGACGGATAGTTAAATCCAGGTACTATCTCTCCATCTCCACTCTTAAATACTCCACAGACTTTAATGTTATTTGACCAAAGAGCATGGGTCGGCAAAGGGTCGAGAGGGGGAACATACCCGCTTCCGACCCGCCTCTGCTCTCTATGATGGCATCACCCAGTTTATAAAGTAGCCCTTAGTCCTCACTTCTTCTGCAGCAATTTGTACTATACCCCAGTCTACCTTGATTTCCTTTCTACTCCTACCTCACTACACCCAACATGCTCGGCAAAATTGCCCTCGAAGAAGCCTTCGCGCTTCCCCGCTTCGAAGAGAAGACGCGCTGGTGGGCCAGTCTCTTCTCCACCGACCCCGAAACCCACGTCAAGGAGATCACCGACATCAACAAGCTGCGCATCGAACATGCCGACAAATACGGCGTGGGATACCAAATCCTCTCCTACACAGCCCCCGGTGTCCAAGACATCTGGGATCCCGTCGAAGCCCAAGCCCTAGCCGTGGAAATCAACGACTACATCGCAGAGCAGATCCGCGATAAGCCCGATCGCTTTGGCGCATTTGCGTAAACCTCCCTCCCCCCTTTCCCCATCTACTACCTTACCTCACTAACTCTAATGCCCAACTGAAGGACCCTCTCCATGCACAACCCCCAAGAAGCCGCCTCCGAACTCCGCCGCTGCGTGCAAACCTACGGCTTCAAAGGCGCCCTCGTCAACGACACCCAACGCGCCGGCCCCGACGGCGACGACATGATCTTCTACGACAACGCCTCCTGGGACATCTTCTGGCAAACATGCACGGAACTCGACGTGCCTCTTTACCTACACCCGCGCAACCCCACCGGCACGATCTACGAGAAGCTCTGGGCAGATCGGAAATGGCTCGTGGGTCCGCCGCTCAGCTTCGCGCAGGGCGTCAGTCTGCATGTGTTGGGGATGGTGACGAACGGCGTGTTTGATCGGCACCCTAACCTACAGCTCATAATGGGCCATCTGGGTGAACATGTTCCGTTTGATATGTGGCGTATTAACCACTGGTTCGAGGATCGCAAGAAGTTGTTGGGATTAGCGGAGACGTGTAAGAAGACCATCCGGGAGTATTTTGCTCAGAATATCTGGATTACGACGTCGGGGCACTTTTCCACCACTACGTTGAATTTCTGTATGGCGGAGGTCGGGGTCGATCGGATTCTGTTCTCCATTGATTATCCGTTTGAGACGTTTGAGGATGCGTGTGTTTGGTTTGATGGCGCCGAGTTGAATCTTGTGGATAAGGTTAAGATTGGGAGGGATAATGCGGCGAGGTTGTTTAAGTTGGGAGCGTTTAGGGATTGTGATGCGAAGATCAAGAATTAGTCATGAGTTTAGTATGTAACGAAATGAGATGATATTTCTGTTTACTTTTGTGGGTGTTTTTGGGATTGGAGTTACTACTATGGTATTCGGCTGGCTGACGAGCTATGATGATGGTTTCACTAGAATACATCTCAGATCTATCTAGCTTCTACTACATCAGGTATGTAAGTATGTAAATGTGCTCTTCTTTCTGTCAGTCCACCTCCCAATCCTTGTTCATCCTTTTTTGTTAATTCTCTTATTTTTTGTTCTTTTTTTGTGTTTTCGCTTTTCATCCGTCACTTTGCGTTCGCTCTTCCCTCATTGGTATCTTGAAATCATAGCTCCTTGCACATGTATCAGATCCGTAGAATTCAACTCTTCCCCACACCAATCCTCAATTCATCCATCTCATGACCTAACCAGTGTCAAATGAGCTTCATCCAAACCTGAAAGTCACCTTCAAAACACCCATCCATCATCCGAATCCTCATCATCCTTAGAGCCAGACACAGCAGACTGCCCAGCCTTAGCCAGCGCCTCATACGCAAAGTCCCGGACCTTAACCGTAGGATCCATCTCCGCAGTGAAAGGAACGTAATCTTTAACCCCCGCCACTGTCCTCGCTTCTTCCTCCTTCTTCTTCTCCTCATCGCGGCGTTTCTCCTCCTTCGCCTGCTCATACGCCATCTTCCGGGCCTCTGCCCGCTGAGCAACCTGGCGCTGCCGCTCACGTTCACCCTCAATATGGTGCGCGAGCATGGCGCTCCTCCAGGCCTGCGGAGTCTCCTGCATCTCTCTGTAGTGAGGCTCCGTGTACCGCTCCTTGATGTCCACCGTGACTCTGATAATGGCATCATAGCTCTCAATGGCCCGGTTGATCAGATCCCAGACTGCGATCAAGGCGCGGGTCATTTCGACGCGCACGGGGTTCCAGTTTTCCTTCACCGGAAGCTGGCGCTGATAGTCATTCATGAAGTCGGTGTAGATGTGCGCGTCGAAAAAGTCCAGGAAGACGGTGAGAAGGTCACGCTCAGATGGGCGGGCCTTGTTCAGATGGCTGATGAAGGTAGGTGTTAGTTGAGTTTGCTTCTGCTTTGTTTTATTGGGTGAGGGAATGGGATAGGGGGTAAGAACATACTTAAGGATCAGTTCGGTCATGTTTCTGAACCGAGTCACCACGTTGTACTGCGTATCTTCTGCGATCTGCTTGACCGAATACTCAACGCGGCGCGCCCAGGTGAGTTCTTGTTGCAAGATGTGGTCCACAATGCTGATGCATTTTTTTAGCTCTTCTAAGCGGTGCATGACCTCTTTGACTTCGTCTTTGGTCAGTCCGAGGACTGGGTCCATGGGAGTAGCGTGTCTGCGAAAAAAGAGGAGCTCAAGTCGAAGCACAGTGTTGCCCATATCGATGAAGCGTGTTTTGGTAGTCAGGCTCATGTGTTCGGAGCTGGTCATGTTCCGCATTTGCTCGATGGTGCTCTTCTTGCGCTCCTCGGCAACAAGTGGAATCGAGTCAGAGCCAACTCCTGCGCGTGGGGTGTTCAACTGTGAGGCCGGGGTAGGGGGGCTTTCGATCTTAGGGGTCTCGGATACGTTGTTCATTGTGCTCGCGTTGATGGTATCCTCGTCACCCGCCATGGTGAAGGGAAGAGGCGCAGTTGCCAGCGAGTCAATTTGTCTGAAGCTGATGACTTCGTCGCAAATCTTGGAGATAGCTATTTTGTATGATTCTCCAATTTGCCTGTTCTGGCGGGCGTCACGGTTTTCACACGACCTGTAGTATTCAGGGAAGCGCTCCGTGTTAACGTGTAGAGGAAGTGGGAGGCCAGAATTGGGGTTGTTTTGAGTAATGAAGGTCGGAGTGGGCTCTATGGGTTCCTCATTCACTGAGGGTCCGGGCTCCCCAATGCTCTCGCTTCTGTTGTCTGGTATGTTTGCGCTTGTTGCCTCCATGGCAGAAATCTCGTTGTTGGTTTCGTTAGGTGAGACCATCCCCTTGTCTTCATCCTGGGCTTGCTCGGGATACCCCTCAAGATATGCGATGTGGTGGCGGTAGAGCTCACGGATACAGGACTCTATGCTCGACTTGGCGGAGAGAGTGCCACTGCCTGTGCGTGCAGATGCCATGATAGGCAGGTGGTCGCGTGTCCTAGAGCTGTGAAAAAGTACACTGGGAGCTTGGAAGAGAGAGCCGCAACAGGATATATCACAATTGCTCAGATGTGTTCATGAACACCAGAGATCTTGAAGCAACTGCCTGCGTGATAGAGAACCATGCATAACTGTTCTTGCAGAAGAGAGATCACACAGTATCACAACGCCTTGAGTATCTTGAGAAAGACTGAATATGATGATCTGGGATGGTAGTGATGACAAGAGAAGAAGAACACTGAGAGATCATCTTCGTGAGAACACTTATCAAAGCGGGCCATGCGATCTCGGCGACGACTAAGCAATAAAAGATTCACTGTGTATACTGCTGTCAACGCCTTGAACTACTTGACCGTGCGGCTGGGATCACAGGAACAGCGGTTGTGGGCACAGGGACGGAAATTAACTTGATGTGACTATCTACTATAACGGCTATATTTGACCGTTCGAGATTGTTATTGTTGGCCTGGGAAGTTGCAATCGCGGGCATGATATTGAACCAATCCGTTATACATGTGGTTCATGTCTATACGAATTGCTTCCTTCCTCTGGCAGAAGTAGGGGTATGAGCTTGCCCAATAGATTTGGCTATTATTGACATGAAGAACAGATGAAGACTACTAGGGCTCAACGCCATAGATCGAGGGGAAAATCTTCCTATACGGAATTTCACAATTGGAATGAGACCGACCTAGTGTCATCCTGAAATCCCACCCAAAATAGGTCGTTAATTGCATTGCAAAGTTGAAGGCCGCAAATAACTGCATGTCCTATGAATTAATAGTCGGGCGTTGTATAGTGGATCAACCACTGGCGGAACGGCCCTTCCCGTAGTTCGGCTCGAGCACTATCTATGAGAACTGAACTTGATGATGGCATGGGCAAAGGACCAAGAAAGTCTACCATTAGAAGGAAAATTGCGTGAGCGTGGTGCTATCGCTAGCAAATGAGTCTACGATAATTGGTCTTCGAATAGGTCATGATCTGCAGTGGGCAGATACCCCTGAAAAGATACGCGGATAGTCAGAGTTGGGCGTCCCTACTCTTGGGCATTGTTAACCCCCTTGTAGTGGCGAGATCAAGTCAGAAGCAGGATTGCCTCGATCTTCGTAATTGAGCAAGTCTCATTACAATTTGCCCACCGGCGCAGCTTGGCTCGGGAAGCTAGTACGCACTTAAGAATGACATTGAATAAAGGCACAAGGTAATAACATTCAGGGTATATGAAACTACATGAGTGTACCGCATCTCAATCCATGACGCTTACGGAAAGAATCGAGCGTCTAGTTTAATCGAGATGCAGTTTGACCCTCCCTCCAGTCATGACTGCGGAAACTAAGCAGGTGAAAAGGAAAGAACAAAACGTCCTCGCCAGCCACACTACTTAAACAGACATGATCTGTGAGGTTAGCGAGGGTCTGCCTCGTTCTTCGCACAGTGACTGATTGGCACCTCATTGATAAGGAGTGTGACAACTCAAAGTAGTGCGTGGATATCGCCAGCGAATAGAGCACTTGAAGAAACAAAAACAAATTTGGATACGAAGGTTCATGACTGTAGATGACATACGTCGGACCAGGGTCAGTCTTCCTTCTTACTTTCCTCGGACTTTTCAGCAGAGGCTTTATCATCTTCATCCTCGTCGTCGGGCAACGGAACATCCATGACTCGCTCTCCAGCTTTTTCTAAAGCCCTGCAGCTCCATGTTCTTACACCTTTGTAGACGGCCTAGTATTCGTGGTCAGAAGTTGCCAAAAAAAGAAAAAACATTAAGAAAACATACCCAAAGGAAACTACCAACACCGATGACGATGACCAACCACGCGACCCGGTTGCGGCCAGAATTCCTTCCGCCACCAAACATCCCTGTGCCGCGCAGTGTCAATCCATGCCATGAAGAAAGCGCAAACACAGCCTTGATGAAGGATAGAAAGCCCAAAGAGGCTAGCCCCTTGATGAAGTGCTCAGTCCAGGAAGCCTCTTCATTGTCAGGTAATATACTCGACACAGGCCGTGTATCCCAGTAGTCCGAGCGGATAATGGGGTCCATAGGGTCCACGTATAGATTAATGATCGGGTCAGCAATAAAACCAAGTAAAAATACAGTCAACATTAGAATAATTAGAGTAAGTCCAAGCTGCGTCAATGGGCTACTGATCCAGTGTGCCCATCGGAGGCGCTCTAAGCGATAGTGGAAGCCACATGTCGGACAGTGCCAGTAATTCCTCTTGCCATAGCCTGGGTCCGCATGTCGCCAAAGTTGTAGACATCCCTCATGCACATAACGCGAGGATCCTTTGCATTTGCAAGGGCGAAGCAACCGACCCGACTCCGGGTCTGAGGACTGGTATGTCACGCGTTGCTTGGACTGGAGAAACCCAGGCAGGTGTTCGGATGGAGGAGGGAAGGTAGGGTAGACGGTCTCCAGGCAGATGCGACATGTACGAGGAGGGTAATGCTTTTCGAAAGTCTCGCCTGAAGATTGCGAAGGTTCATCAGGTCCAGCAACATCTTCTGGACTCTGCCTTACATTAAAGTCAGGGTCCGAAGCTGAGACGGAGGCAGAGCTTGAAGGCCACTGCCAGAGCGGCTCATTGCGCAGGTCCATTCTGCCTTTGCCTGAACAGTCTCAGAGCTAATGGCATAATATGATTCTCAGACCTACCAGCGATCTGAGAACCTCTAGCAGAAATTGGCAGGCGTCTGTGTCGAGAGATGCGCGAGGACGAGGAGAAAAAAGAGGGAAAAGTGGGTGAGGGAAAAAGAGGCCAGCTTAAAAAGGCGATGTGGAGAAGAAGTCGTGCCGTAACCGCACTAGCCGCTCGCCTACCGTCACCGCCCGAGGCGCGGCTTGGCGCCGAACCAGCCGGTGGTGCTGCTGCTGCGTCAACATCCTGCCGCCTGCTG